GAAGGGGACAGTCTGTTTCTTCTCTTTCCAGGCTTAAGAGGAACCAAACAGAACTGGATATTCTAACAGCAATCAGGTCTGAGCAGATAGTGTGTGAGAGATGACAGTTGGCAGGAAATAGCAGGAACTTTCAGCATCACTAGGAGCATAGTCGCTACACTTGAGGATACCCCTAGTGAGAGCCTCAAGGTGGAGGGAGATATCTAACTGGTCCTGGTTCCCCTCAGGGGCCTGCTACAGTTAGAAACAGAGGAGGAATGCCATGGTGGATGCAGGCTTTGTGTGGGAGTTCTAGCCCTCCATTTGCTTGGCCCACGGGTTCCTCATGCTGGCTGGCTGAATAGGGGACATGTGGGCCCAGGTGACACTTTTCTTGTACTTGTTTACTCATATTTGCTGCAAAGCAAAACATCTTGTACCATGCCAGCCTCCTGAGCAGAGACAGCCCTTTGGTTAGTGGTTCATATGTTAGACAACACAGGCCCCCTGCACTCTCACTGACCCAGACAGAAGCCAGAGTCCTTTGCACAGTAGCTTTTGAGCTCATTCTGGAGACCTGCCTGAACATCACCCATCCCCACCCTCCAATCAGGAAAAAGGGAAGGAAAAGAAAAACTCAGAAACCCGAAGATTGTTTGGAATTTATTCTCTTAAATAAGAACGTAACATTTGTTTTTTAAAAAAAAACTTAAAAGCACAACACCTTGATTTCACAGTAACGGCAAAAGCAAAGTTACACAATTAAATTAAAAACTCACAAAGAAACACACCAAAAACTCACAACAGCACAGATTAAAAACAAGGGCAAAAATAAAGGGTTTAGGGAAAGTCAGAGTGGACAGGTGACATGTTCCTTGGCACAGCTAACTCTCCCTTGCTCTGGCTTCTTTGTACCACTGCCAAGGGAATTCTGCTTGCTGTCTCTACCCCAAGTGAATGGGGGAGGGGAAGTAAACCCCTTAACTCATTGGCCAGCCCTGCAAAGGACCTGGGGGCCTCTTTTAGGAGTACCTAAGAATGTTCCACTGTTTTGCAGGAAGCAGCCAGACACACAGCAAACTCCAAAAGGCAGTAGAAAGTGGAAATAACTAACCTAGTTAAAACAGAGGGAAGGTGGGGCATTTGGTTCTTTGTTGCTCCTGAAACAATTATATGAGATGGGTGTGTGTGTGTAATGCTGCTCATTTTTTGAGGTACCCAGTTTCCCAAATCTCCATTTCCATATGGTATGCTGTTTTTGGTCTGCTGTGGTTCCTCAAAATCCTAACCAGAGGCAACGTTCCCAGTGTAAAAGCTCCCTTTCCAGAACCAAGGAACGAAAAGCTTTAGGAATAGCTTCATTATCACTATTATTATTTAGGGCACAATATATAAATAAATATTTATTCACATATATGAAATGGAACCTTACATATATGTATATATATATGTATGTAGATATGTATGTGTGTATGTATGTGTGTGTGTATATATATATATATATATATATATATATATAACATTCATAAATTACTATCAACTCAACTATGACTCTTGGGATAGGATTAAGGAAGAAGGCTAGATTACAGAATTCTTTCTACTTGGTTTTCCAAAAATGCCTAAGGGAAGAGGACTTGGTAAACAGTAAGAAGATTTCCTAACTTCCCTCTGCCAGGCAGGAAACCCAGAACTGAATGAATTCCTTGTACTGCTTGGCTATTCTGGCTGGTGTGGGCAATGCCTGCAATTCTTAATGGCCCATCTGGATCTAAACTATGGAACCCAAAGGTTACCACACGAGAGGTGTCTGGGGACAGGGAGCAGGAGACTGCCAATTGTAACCTTGCAACTTCTTTTATTAAAAAAATCTTCACAAATCGACAGACAACTGGCATGCTTCTCGCACCTGTTCTCTGCTGTCTGCACTGCATATGTTCTCAGATGATTAATTCTGGGAGAAAAGTTCATTTCTTTTCTTCCTTTGTTACTACACAATCCTAGCTTCATTTTTGGTTATTCATGATAGAAGGTAAAAAGGGAATTCCTCTAGATAAAAAGATTCCCAAACAACTGCAACTGAGGGTCTCACGTCCTAGGGGAAAGGAATCCTTAGAGGTTTTTCTTTCTTTGCCTGCTCTTGTCCAAATTTTTCTAAAGACGGGGCAGGTACTATGAGGCCAGAGTAAGAAAATCTGTGCCAGGTCCACTATCTGTAGCAGTAAGTCTAAGAAGCTTGGAAAAGTAGCATTTATAGGTTTGAAAACAGAACTAGAATTTCTATATTAAAACACATGACAAACAAAAATACTGTAAACGATGTCCCCAACACACTAAATTATACTAGCAGTTACATATTAGTGTACCAGAGAAAGACAGCACTTAAAAACCACCCCTGTAGTGCATTCTTTTAACTGGTGGGTTATATTGCATTTTGTTTTATTCTGTTTTTTTTTGTTTGTTTGTTTTTTGGCAACAGCAGTTATTTTGGCACAAGGGGAAAGAACACAAGTGAGAAGACAGAAATGCCACAATAGAGAGGAGGCACAAAGCAAAAGCGTGGCAGGGTCAAATACTGACTAGCTGACTGTTAGTCTAGTTTTTCCATTTGTAAGTTTCGGGGGCATGTGGTTCTAGGGAGGATGGCTCAGTAACACAACAGAATCAGGCTCATTCACTCACAGCCTTTTCTGGTCTAGAGTTCAGTGGAGGAGGTGTACTCAGGTTCTAGGTTCTCTATGATACACATTCTGGAATGCTGAAACACCTGAGCTTTTCTGAAAGAAATTCTTATTAAATAATCAAAGCTTTGGTTTGGGATTTAAAGAAAGAAATATATATAAAAGAAGAGACAAAAAATCTATTTCATGGCAACTACAAATACCAGCCATAATTCTTTTCTACAGAGACTAGCACAAGTTAGCTCACAAGGAAAGCAACTATGCTTTGGAGCATATTCGGGACTCAGAGGTCTAACTTCCAAAAGCTTGAGTCTCCACAGGCAGATATCAAGGAAACCCATTAGCCCTAAGCTCTCTGTCCTTCTTTTTGCCTAGAGAATACTTTAAATGGTGGGGGAGGTGACAGTGCCTGACTTCCTCACCTTAGGGGTTCAGGCTGGGGTACCTTCCAGATACAACATCTTTCACCTATGCTATAATAGGTATCTCCCATGATCTACCTCAGAATCAAGAACCATGGGGCCTGAGATGTTCTCAGGCTCTGATTCTTTCTTGATTGTTTTGATTCTTTAACTGCACTGCCAACTCTTATCTTCTCTCCCTGTTTTGTAGAACATTCTCTCCTCTGTGGAACCCTTACTTCTTTAGAATTTCTAAAAATCTGAAATCTGTTATGCCTTCAATTAGTCAGAAAGGGAACCAGAACTAGATGGAAAAGCAGGCAAACCCAACCTGTTCAGGAATGACCTAAACCTTATCATTCTTTATAAGAAATGTTTGTATGCCTTACCCAAGGGGGGGCGGGATTTAATTTGGGTTGCTTTACTGAGTAGTTGGGTTCCTTTGAAAATCCATCTTTGCTGGAGTAAGATCTAGACTAATGAGGTTGAGTTGCCACCTGATTAAATACACATCCTAGTGAAGAGCCAAAGTTATCTGGATCCCTATCACTCTTCTCTGCCAGCAATACCTCCCATGCTCAGAACATATCAATTGCACAGTGCTGTTATATTTCATGAGAAAGATCACAAAGGGTCTGATGATTGTACAAGGCTTAAAAATCCTTTCTGGCTTAAACATGGCTTTCAAATGTTGGTCCTACCTGTAGGGCACTTAACATACTCTTCTGAATATGATGAAGATACATGCAGGAGCCGAGTGAGCTGGTTTTGCAGGAGTGTGCCTTGTTTTAAGTTCAAAACTGCCCCCAAGGCTTTGTGTCCAGTCTCTGGGCATGTCCCCCTTGCCCAGAATGAGCACCCCAAGGCTCATAATAGTTTCTTAGCATGGGAAAAAAGCAACTCTGGGTACCTTTTATCGAAAGGCCAAAAGAATAACTTTTTTCATCATGAAAATTCTACTATCTATTCCTTCTCCATGATTTCTGGCATTGGCCAATAACCTTTTAATTTTCATAAGTTTGTTAATGGTTGCTGTGAATGGGAGGAAGTTCATAATTTGGGGCCTCAGGACTTCCCAGCAGTTTGCAGAACTGTGGATATATCTCACAGGCTAGTTTTACAAGGGGCTTAGAGGGGCAATTTTAAGGAAAAAACAAAATAATTCTACTCCACAGGCTGGGTGCCCTGAGTCCTCCCAGTGTGATGACCAGAACAAGAATGTTTTTAGAGGTAGAATGGTGCTGTTCAGGTCCTGACATAGGAAGTAGTAATGAAAGTGTGACAGACAGGTTTTCACCCTCACTGCAAACTCAAAAGCCCCAAAGTTCTTAGGGTAGTTTATGTCCTGTAATGGTTATGGGTCAAATAGGAGAACAGTGATAGCTTATCCAGATGCCTAACTAGGAAATCAGATGTAAAAATTTCAAGTTCTGGTGAACACAAATTCAGCCATGGGCTGAATTACACAACTCGACGCTCTGTCAAAGGAGTCCTGAATGAAAACTACAAGGAGGTCTGGCAACTTTGGCTTCTCACCTGGGTCGCTGACCACAGCAGCTTCTTCTAGACTCCAGTTTACCTACAGAGGGTCTGCACCCTGATCTGTCTGAGGGATGTAGGATGGGCTACAGTGTCCATACTGAGACTCCGAATAACATTACCCACACTTGGATGATACTGCTTACCACATGGCACACTTAGTAGCTCACAGCCTGCCAGTGAAACTCCCCTCCGATTTGTACCAGCACCTCTGACAGGCCATACAGAAAGGGGACTCCAAATGCAAGTAGCTGGCACATGAAAAAGGAGTCCAAAGGGTTTTGGGCCACTTGATGCCCAAATGAAGAAATGTTCTTTTGGAGGTGCTGGCTCATCCCCTTGGCCTTGTCACAGAGGCCGAGAGAGTGACGCGCCACCCAGCCAAACAAGGAAGTGAGGCTACCTGGAGTTCTCTCAGCCGAGCTGGTGATGGTACTGGCCCGTCCACTTGTGTCTGCAGTAGGGCCATCCTGCAGGGGTCCTCTGGCCTCCTGGGAGAGTCCATAAGAAAAAGAAGAGTGACTCTGACTGAAGCCCTCAAATCTCAGGAGGTAATGACAATCTGATTGGTTTGTCTATCTCTTGTCAACCAAGATTTATATACCTCACAGTCTTTCTTTAAAGAAACAAGGACATATTCACATAGAAGTCACTAGAAGTCAAAGTCTCTATCCACCCAAGTCATCCATTGGTGTGCTGGACTGGTTCCAGGACCCTCTCGGATACCAAAATCTGTGGATAATCAAGTCCCTTAAAATGGCATTGTATTTGCACATAACTTACATAATCTCCCATGTACTTTAAATCATCTCTAGATGATTTATAATACTTAATACAATGTAAATGCTATAGGAACAGCTGTTATACTGTATTGTTTAGGGATTAGTACAAGAAAAAAGTCTGTTTGTGTTTGGAATAGAAGCAATCTTTTTCCTTTTATTTTCCATCCATGGTTGGTTAAATCCACAGATGTGAAACCTGTGGACACAGAGGGCCAACTGTATACCTTTTCCCACCAGTCCCTCTGCAGTCAAAAGAAGCCTCTCAAAGCAGCAGTAATCAGCCTGCATACTGACAAGGTGCTGTCCATGCAGTGGAGGGATTACTCAGGTCACCTTGACAAAGAAAAGCAGAGGGACCATGCTAAGAAAGAAAGGAAGAAAGAAAGAACGAACGAACGAGTGAACTTAGACAAGTAACTTGCAGAACAAGGATATTAAAGAAGTCAGCAGGCAGAGCATGTTGCAGTCAAGTTCCTTTCTGGCATGAAGAGCAGGGATTGGTGTGGCTCCCATTTGCTCTTAGATGCCCTAAGGCAAGGGCTAAAGAAATGGAAGAAACTCTTCCTTAGGATGCCTCTTCTCTCACTACTGCCTCTCTTGATGAGAGTTCTAACTATGTGAAAAAGGAAGAGGACGTTATCCTTAGCTGCAGGGCATTCTCCTTTCAAAAAGAGGCTTATTCATAAAGTCAGAGTGAATAGAAGGGAGGATCAGTATAATTCCTCAGTTCAGCTCAGGTGGTGGATATGACATTACTTTAGCGAAGTACAACATCAGACTGAAAGGCTGCTTCCCTCCCCAAATTGAATGCAACTATGTCTTGGGCCCTCATGGGACAGGCAATGTTCCAATGACCATCCAGCAAGCCCACCTGTCCCAACCCTGATCCACAATCAAACTGGTGTGCCACCCACTGCATTTCTCCCACTTACAGGAAGGACTGTCATTACCTTTCCAGACAGAGGAGCCACAGCTGGCCTCTTCCTTTGTGCGTAGCCAGAGAGTCGATAACAGTAGTGTGGTTTACAGTAGAATTTACCTGTAGACAGCAAGAAGCAGGGGAAAAGCGAGTAAGCAAAACTCTGTAGTTCTGAACTTGACTCACTGGTCTTGGCACACTCCTATCTATCTCCTTCAGCCACAGGATGTTGTCACCACCATCCCACCCTTTCACAGGCCCAGCTTTCTTGCTCAGGGAAGCCAATCCCTCCCTTTAAACTTTGATTCCAGCCCTCCTCTCCCCTGTGCCTGAAGTGGGTGGGACCTTCTCTTTGGGTATGTAAAGGTCATTGAGCCATTACCCAATCAGTGCCCACAGCAAAGATGTGAGGCTTGCATGGCAGGGCCAGCTAACAAAGTGGCAGTGTATAAAGAACAAAGATGTGGTCACATGAAAGCTGCGAGTAGCATTTCTGGGGAAAGCTAGGATGAATGCAAGTGCTGGGTGGAGGCGTAAAGGCTGCAGGAGCTGGGGCAGCACTGGCATTCACTCTGACAGGTCCACTTTTGCCCCTTCCCTCTCCTACAACTATAGGTCTTACCTCCTTCATCACCCACTATCCAGTGCAATATTGTTTTTGTGAGTTTTGGTCACCAATAAATAGGACAGGATAAAGTGTATTAATACTTGGTTCATATGCAACTTATTTGGTTTTTTAAAATATCCTTCTGTAAGAAATACCTTTCCCATCTCCATGTAATTCTTATAGACTCTATCAATCATGTGGCCTGACATTACCCACTATAGAAGTAGAAATATAATCAGGTTGGTCAACCAGAATACTACCTCCCACCATCCTCCTCAGGATATAAGCCCCAGGAATTGGTGTGTGACTAAAGGCAGTGTAACTAGGGCCATAATTGGCAAATAGGTGAAGAACAGGCAGCCCTTCTCTGGTGCTGTTATCTGGAAGAAGACATAAATTTAAAGCTTATACTTGAATCTGACTTGGTTTTCTATTACTTGTAACCAAGAGTCTTGTTTATTATAGTATGAAAAAACCATAGCCAATTATTGTTATTTTAATTTCTGTCTTCTATTTTTTTATGTTAATTTTGTTTTTAAATTATTATTTTTTTTGCATTAAAGCAGAAACCTAGATCTTAAAATACAACTCAATGGAACTCGACTGAATCTTCATGGAACCCTTCTCTGGTATTCTCAATTAATAAAGAAGTTTAAGTTTCAGAAATGAATCTCAAAAACCAAAACAAAAGGCAATTTCCAAGAAAATTCTAGGAAACTCTTTTCTCTAGGAAGATAGTACTTTATGTGAAAAGCATGAGCTCTGAAATCAGATCTCAGCTCAAATACTGTATCAAACACTCAATGGTTGTATATATTTAGCCTGTTACAACTACCTCTTCATATATGAAATAAACATTACACTCATCTCATAATAATCTTAATAATCTGATATAAAGATATCAGATTATTAAGATATCAGATGTTGTGAGTTTCAGGTGCTCAATTAATATATCTTCTTAAACCCTTTTCCAAACCTTAATAGCACTTTTTGCTTTTTAGATTAATAAGAGTAATTCTTATCTAACATTTACCATGTGTCAGACACTATTTTAACTGCTTTACATTTATTGAGTCATTTAATCCTCAACCCAATGAGGTAGGTATCATTATTATCCACCTTTTCCCAGCTAAGACACAGAAATGCTGAGCAATCTGCCCAAAGTGTCCCACTTTGAAGCTGGCTCCAGAGTCTATACTTTTAACCACTATGCTATGATGTCTGTCTCAATTAGTAAAGACAACCAGGCTAATGTTATAAATCAGCTACAAATTAAGGTTTTTACAGATAACCTAAATTAAGCAATCCTGATAAATAGGTAAGTGCCTAGAAAAGGGAATAAGGTAAACTGGGTCATTTTATCCATTTGCTCAACAACTTATTGAGTGTCCTTAAGTAAGAAGTACAATCTAAATACTGAAGAACCTCCAGACAAGTTCTCTGGATGGGGCAGATGGTGTGTGAATGAAAATGAGGCAGTAGTGGAGACACCAAATGGGGTATGACAGAACCTGAGTGGCTAGAGGTCTGGGAAGGCCTTTGAGGACGGGACATGTGGAAATGGCAAGGCCAAGAAGCCACCCAGCAAAGACTTGGGGGGGGGGGCACGTTATTCCAGAGAAGACAAGGCAAAGGCCCAAGACAGTAATGGTTTTATCACGTTTACAGAATGGGAAAAAGACCACTATGAGAGGGGTACTATGAACTGGGGTCAGGTAACAGCTGAAGGCTAGGGTACACATGCTAAGCTCTCTCACCCTGGAAAAGACTGCCATTCTATTTGTACTACAGTGGGTAATAAAGTAAGAAAAGGATTGCTAAGATCTGACTAACACCTTTTGAAGATCCCTTGGGTTGCTCTATGGAAGCAGACTAAAGGGGCAATTGTGGAGGCAGGGAAAGCAGTGGTCCAGGTAGAAGATGCAGTGGCTGGCCTAGAGACTTCATAAGACCCCTCGGGAGTCTGTTTTCTCTCCTTAAGATGATATGGAACAACTTAAGATACTATCTAATTTAGAGTCTTAAGAGTTGACAGCAAATAAAAACGAGCTAGCATTTGGCAAGGGAAAGAGTAGTTTGGTTTGGGACAGACTGTTTCCTTTAAAGAGTTGAGGGGCAGATTCAACAGCAACAAGGGCAAATCATAGACATCTCTTTTAAGTACATGAATCTTGATTCATCAGTTTGGAGTTAATGAAGGGCCTGCTCTGGAATGGATCTCAGAGGTCATTTAGTACAAACCAATTCTTATTAGCTGCATAAAATTGGATAAGCAACTTATAACTTCTCTGAACTTGCTTTCCAACTGGCAAATTACAACTAAAAAATAGCTACCTCATAAGGTTGTTGTGAGAATGAAATGATGTGCTATGTGTTAAAGGATCTGGCACAATTCCTGGGTTATTTCTTTTCTCCAGAGTTATAATTTCTCTTATCTCAGTTAGATTCTTCATTTAATAACCTGTTTGTAGAATAGGCTAAAACTTTAGTATGCCCCTAAAATATAATTCCATTTTCTAGTCTGCCTGTCCCCTGACAGAAGAGAAGAAATCCTTTGAAGGGGCTAATTTGATGAAAATTCTATCTGGGTTAAGATTTGGTGAGCTGGTGTAGACTCACTGTCCTCTCTTGTGGCTGTCTATGTCTTGGCAGGCTAGCTTCATCCTGTGCCAGCTAATGGCCACTGGATCAGGGCACTTGTTCTCTTGCCTGCGAAGTCATCTTCCCCCTCTGCTAGCCAATTCTCATTTCTCACATGCATTTCTGAAGGTTGGTTAAGTCATTCCAAACTGCTGTTGAACATGATCGATTTCCTCCTGCACTGAACTTAAGTTATACTATTCACTATGTGACCTGGCCCTTAACTACACCCTTTTTACAACTGTAAACTTTGCTTCCTATGTCTTGTCTCATCAGTCCCCTCAGAATGTGCTACTATTTAATCTTGAATGTCCTTCCAAAGGCCCATGTTGTTAGAGGCTTGGTTCCCAGGGTAATGCTATTGGCAGGTAATGGAACCTTTAAAGAAGTGGAGCCTCATGGGAGGTTGTTAGATCATTGGTGGGGGGTGTCCCCAAGAAGGGATTGTGGACCCCCAGTTCCTTCTCTTAATGTGTTATGTTATCACAGGGTCAATTGGTCATGAACTGGAACCTTCAAAACTGTGAGTCAAAATAATTTTTTTTTAATAAATTGACTATACCAGGAATTTTGTTAAAGCAATGGAAAACTGACTAAAACAGAGGCACTGGCGGCACATTTAGATCTGTATCCTCAAGAGAATGCAGCAAAGATGAGCACATATCCACAGCCAAAATAATCTATGGACCAACTGGCTGGACCCTGAGGGATCTCCCAAGGTAAAAAATAACTAAAACAACCTAACTAAGGACAGTTACAAGATGTTGGGTGGGCTCCATCTGCCTACCATCATCTTTGGAATCAAAGGTATTACCCAGAGCAAGGGTATGGGAAAAGCAGAACAGAAATAATAAAATTTATTTTCCTTACCTGAGTAACTATCTTAATTCTTCCCTAATTGGATAGAGCTCTTTACTTTTTTTTTTAGTTGTTGATAGACCTTTAATAAAGGTCTGTGTTGCTGAGAATCGAACCCAGTGCCTCACACATGCCAGGCAAGTAGGCTACTGCTAAGCCCCAGCCCCCCCAGCCCTTTTTATATTTTATTTTGTGATAGGGTTTAAGTTGCTTAGGGCTTCACTAAGTTGCTGAGGCAGCCTCTGAATTTGTAATCCTCCTGTCTCAGCCTCCTGAGTTGATGGGATTATAGGCATGTGTCATTGCATCCAGCTTGAATAATGCTAATGCTTTTTTTTTTTTAATTTTGTTTGGACAGTGCTCTTTACTAACACAGTTAAGAGTAGAAGGTGCCATGATAATAAAAAGAGAGTTAACCTTTCTTCTCCCCCACCCCACCTTTTTTTTTTTTTGGTGGTTCTGGGGATTGAACACAGGGCCTTTTACATGCTAGGCAAGCTACATCCCCAGCTCAACAGTTAGCCTTTCTTAATTCACTACATTGGGATCCTTTCTTGCTCCTTCTGGCACAGTGGCCTGTTTATTCATTATTAGAAAAACCTAGGTAACTGGAGTGACCATCCTAATTGCATTGGCCCTTCTGTATAACATTACCTTGCAATATTTTCAATCAATAAATCACCTATCATGTAATAGATTTAATGCCAACCCATGAATTCCAGTAATCTAGGTCTCTTTGGTAATTTTCTTTTGGGGTACCGGGGATTGAACTCAGACCACTGAGCCATATCCCCAGTCCTATTTTGCTTAGCACCTCACTTTTGCTGAGGTTCTTTGAATTCACAATCCTCCTGCCTTAGCCTCCTAAGTTGCTGGGATTATAAGCATGTGCCACTGTGCCAGGCTCTTTGGTAATTCTGAACCAGTAAAACTGTCTCCCACAAAGTTCCTTCCGTTCCTATAGGAATGGATGCAGGGCTTGCCACTGCCTCATTTACCTATTTCTATTAACCTTCAGGATCTTCAGATTACAGGTGGCCAGCCAATATCTGTCAGTCTCTGTGAAGTGTTTGCCCACTTCTATACCTTCCATTGGCCAAGGTCTTTCCATTGTAAAAATAGTCAATGCTACAGTAAATCCATGGGCAATGAGCTGTCCATTCCTCAAATACGAGGCAAGAAGATGATGATGCCAGAGGGAGACAGCAACATCAGGCATATTTCAGTCAGCTCCCAGGGGCAGAAGCTTGAGTATCAAGGGGCCTGGGATCTATTTTCATTTGCTGTCATCAACTATAGGCAAGAAGCATAATTTCTACATATCTGTAACCCCACTACCAGAAAGACAACAAGGCTTATCCACATTGTGTCCTTTAAAAAAAAAAAAAAAAACTTTATTTATTTACTTATTTGTTTTTATGTGGTACTGAGGACTGAACCCAGGGTCTCACACCTGTGAGGCAAGTGCTCTACCACTTAGCTACAGTCCCAGCCCCATATTGTGTCCTTTTACCTCAAGATCCCACCATGAGGTAAAAAAGCAAGGGAGTGTAAACTCAGAGAACCGATTTAGGTAAATGCATGCCATTCCATTACCATAATTACTGGGTAACACTATGATACATCCTGGTGACTTCAGAAAAATATTTATAAGAAAGAGTTTCAGAGAAAAAAGGAAATAATGGAGGGGGAGAGGTGGGAAGGGTTAGTAGAGCTACAACAAAAGCACACAGAAGAATGTAGCAACAAAGGACCTAAGGTTCCCAGCTGCTCAAATAGACAAAAAAAGTGCCTGAGCTCAGTTTCTAGGTATAGGCTAAGGTGCAGACTGACTCACCATCCTCAATGTCATAGGCATAGGCTGAGAGGCGCAGGGTGGTGGCACAGTAGTCGCATTTAAAGCAGCTCCGGTGGAAGAACTTGCCCTCAGCACTCAGTCTCTCCATCACATAGACCCGCTTCTGGCAGAAATAGCACGTGTCGCTGCCCCCCAAATTCTGTGGGAACTCCTTCTTCATGGAGCCCTGGGGGAGGGGAGAAGGAGTTAGGGCAAGGCCTCTCAGTCTTCCCTCCTGGAGCTGTACAACCCCTCTCTAGGTGAAGCTGACTCTTACCAGGTGTTTTTATTTGGAGATAGACTACAAGTGCTAAAGGGCCACATTTGCTCTGCTTTTGGCTCTCCAGAAGAACAGCAGCACTCTTGCAGTAGTTATAACACACAAGCCCTTCCCAGGAGCCCTCAGTACAAAGTGAAGCCTGAATTAGTGTTAATCAACAACCAAAATTTGCTTCTGATAAAGGATCCAAATTTACATTTTCCTAATCAAACCAAATAATTCTGACCAAATTCTTTTTAGAGGGAAGCATTGGTATAAACATATTCAGTGTTCACTAGAGTGTTCTATGAGTGATTACTTTTAGAGGTACAAATGCTTTTCCACACAACATTCTAAACATTCAATTATCAAAATTCAGACAACCTTGAAAAATTATTACATGCCAACACAAGCGGCCAAACAATTTACTAAGCTCCTTGGAACAAAGCAGGTTTGTTCCCCATAGCAGTGTGAAGGCTAGCACCAGTGCCCTTGAGATATCTCTTACCAGCTCCTTCTTGTCTAGAAGGGTTTTGGGCTGCTCTTTCCTTTGAAGCTGATTGGCTATCTGCTCAGCCAATGAGCTCACTCCGCCCGTGTACATCTTTATATACTTCTATTGGTTGGAGATTATAGAATGACCAGAATGAAAGGAAATGAGAAGGAAAAAAATTAAGAAGACAAGAAAAAACTATTTTAAGGTGTAAAACGATTACACGGTGCAGCAGCAAACCATGCCAACACAGTGCCCACAAGCAGAGAAAAGGTGGTGAGTAAAACACTGTGTCAGCATCTACTTGTGTGGGGTGGTGGTGGTCAGCATAGAAAGGAGCAGCATTTGTGGGAGATGATCCTTCCACAGGAAGAACTTGGTTTTTCATGTCTTATTTTTGGAATATATAGTTTCAGGCAGATAGGAAGTAAAAGGCAGAATGGATGAAAACACAGAAGACAGTAAGAAGGGCACGTACCCTGGTGAATCAAATTACACACAAAGAATTCAAGAGGAATAACGCCACACAAGCAATGGATGTCCACACTGACCACCATTTCAGAGTAAAGGAGAGAGTCTGGTAAAGGAGAGAGTCTGGTAGACTACTTCCTCATTTAGAAAGAAGTCAAGCTCATTCTTGCAAATGATAATCCTCTGGGGTCATTGACTGATGTCAAGAGTTCTGGTATTACTGGTGATAATCTTTATCTTCCTTGTTAGCACTTGACTCATATAGCAACTGTTACATGCAGCAGACATTCCTGAGCTCTGTTGGAAAAAGTCTTCTCTGCCCATTTTCCCTGTTGATATTTAATGGGGGCTTGAGAACAGCATAAGAAAGCCCTTATGATCTATCCAGGCACTAATGCCAAAGCCTTTTAGGCTGGGTGGGGCATCTTAACCACACAGTGCAGCCATGTAAACAAGTTTCTTAATCCTGAGAAGTCTAAATGTATTTCTAGTCCAGAAGGGATTATTTTTAGAATTTGAAAAGGTAGAAGAAAAAGAAAATCCAACCAATTCAATCCTCTTCCTGGCAATAGTCAAGAAATAAAAGGAGAAATGTCTGCATGATAAGCCATCCTGCTCACACCACGGGCTGGTACCCAGGGCAGTCCAGCTTTGGAGCCTGTCCCTGGGAATGCAAAGTCTTGCTGGCAGTCTTTTAGGGACTCCATATCTAGGTCACGTTTCATGTGCTATGTGCTTCTCTTTTCATGAATTATGTGGAACAAGGGGGATCCCTGACAAATTCAGGAGGCTGTGAATCTAATTCTGACTCAGAAACACAGTAGGTGCAGTTATTTTGGAGAAGTAAATAATCCCCTTAGGAAGTGGTTTGAATAGACAAACATAAAAAGGCATGTGTAAGAGTTCTGGTATTACTGGTGATAACCCTTATCTGCCCTTGCCCAACCCAGGATATGCCATGGCTGGGCAGGGGCAAAGAGAAGTACTCTGGGGATGGGGAGGGAGCTAACTCATGTAAATCTGGGAATAACAGAAGCACAAATGAGAAAACAATTCTTGGTTGCATAGCTCAAAGCTTAGCTGGAACTGAGAAATCATATTTCTCAACTGAAAAATAAGGAGATTTCCAAGGATTGTAGCCATTTGTCTATTAACTTCACAGCTATAACCATTAGGAGTTGAGAAAAAACAAGTGGTTCTTAGATCTAAACCTTCTTTAGATTAGGGACATTGGAGACACTTAGGCCTAGAATAGGCAGACACCAGGCAAAGTGGAGCAGATCATTTAGTAGCTGACATTGAGGGAACAGAAAATTGCATTTCTTTTTCATTCTGTCGCAAATAAGTGAATGTAGACCAGATGTCAAACATGCGGCCAGGACACTGTACAGCCCCTGTGCCCCCACTGCACAGCCAAGACCCTTCTCTGATGGCCAGAAACCACCATCCTCAGTAGTTACAGCCTGGGGCTGCTCATGTGTAAAGGCATTTGTCACATTCAATTTTCAGCAATGTGGTGTAACACTAAGCACCCCCCACCTCCCAGAGGTGAAAATTTAAGTTGTTTGCTTTTGGCAAGAAAAGCAGATGGTTTCCTTCTCCCTGTTCTTAAAAAATAGTCAAAGCATAGCAATCACTAGATTAAAGTACTGCACACCACACACATGCATGTGATTCTGCACATATGTACCGCAGAGTCTGGTACTAGCTCAAGAAAAGGAAGCACAAACAGAATGGGCAAAAAGATGCTCTAATCTCCCTACAAACTCCTCTCTGGCTAGATCAGTGCTACTGTGGGAAATAGCAGCATTCATTACTCACATGATTACAGGTTAAGAGGCACTCAGAATACTGCAGATTCACTATTCTGCTTAAGTGATTTCATTACAACATGTAATACATGATTACAAAGGCATACGAAATTTAAAAAACCAATGGCTAAAAAAATCATTATTGAATATAGTTAAAATACAATCAAAGTAGGCTTACTTTGACAGACTTTGGCAGTGTTAAATACAATTCAGTGAAAGCCAGCAGCCTCTTTAATTTATGTGTCTGCTGTAACCCTCACACATACAGACACACACCATTAGCTTCTTACAGGAGAGAGGCCAAGGTTAAGACCTCTGGACAGAAGGCATGTGTGAAAGTGAAGTGAGCAGAGGCTGCAGAGGAAACATGGTTTTGCCAATTCTCAGACCATGCTACCTGTCGAAGGGAGTCGGAGGAGGGAGAGGCAGGGCGATTGGAGGAGCGGAGATTAAGAGAAAGCTCCCACTGGTCAACAAAAAATCGACGAGAAGGTTCAGGCTCTGTCTATAAAATACAAGATGGAGGGGGAAAAAATCAAAGGAAAATGTTAAATTAAAAGTCATACCTCAAACAAGAAATTTTGACAGTTTTAGACCCTTCTACTCTAGACCTCTATCTAATACATATGATAAAGAAATATTTTTTAGCTCCCAGAAGCACAAGTGGCTCCCTAATCAAGGCTCCCATTTTGTTTTTTACTTATCTTCCAATGCTTATAGTGAAGCTTGCTCTGAACATAAACAGTGCATTTTTGATTCTGTGTGTGTGTGTGTGTGTGTGTCTGTGTGTGTGTATGGTGCTGGGAATTGAACCCAGGGTCTTGGGCATGCAAGGCAGGCACTCTACAAACTGATCTGTATTCCCAGCCCAAATTTGAATCCTAGTTGAAAAAGATATGCCATAGAGATATGTCGTTCTTCACAGGTAAACCAGCTGTGAAAGCCTTGTCTTTTCTGGCTTGGTATTCTTACTCCACCCATCCTCTAAGTGGGCAATTCTGCCAGCTGAGTGATAGGATAGGCGTCGTCAGGTACTGCAAACACATACCTTGTCCCCTGCGGAGAGCCCTTTCCCTGGCCCAAGCCATGCTTTCTCCTGGGTAAGGAAGAATTCTGCCACCACCCCGTTATTCAATTAGCCTTCTAATTAGCAAGCAAGAGAGACAGTAAATATAGGGCTAAGCTTGCTTTTTCTGTATCAAGGGCAGGAATAGTGCTTATCCTCCTTCTAGTGCTTGGAGAAGCTCTGTTTGCCAACGAGGCCAGCCAAACCTCAAGCAATGAATAGGAGACAAGACTCAAAGCTCCCACATCTTCTGCAGACTACACACAACACATACAGCAAAAATGAGCCAGTGTTTTCTTCAGCAATTGGCCCAGAGAGTGAGATAGGTGAAAGCGTTAGCAAGTAATAACTGCTTAGTTTCCTACCAGGTTCAAGGTGAAATTTTTATAGGCTTGGAGGAACAGAGGTACTACTGTTAGGGTAATGAGAAGCTCTCTGCTCCTCCAGATCCACTGCACCCCCTACTTCAGCCAATACACACTCACAACATTTTTGGGGGTAACAACATGGAATGGCAGTTATCTGGTGCCTAACTAGCCTATACTCTGCTCCAGATGCTCAGCTAGCTCCCTGGTCCTAAGCTCAGCATTCAAGGTACAGTCAGCTACAAAAGCCCTCAGGGAGTTGGGGATGGACTTTGTGGAAGAGTACTAGTACCACTCACCAAAAGGCCACAACAAGACTGAACATCCATCCCCTTAGCATGACAAAGTCGACAGAACTTAATGGAGGAGCAATAGGCATCAAAAGCGAGCAGTGTACACACGGTACTGGAGCAGTGGAAAGAAAGTTTTGGAAAAACATAAGTGTTGTCCCTCCAAAGTATCTATCCTAGAGCCCTGCACTGAGGAATCCAGATACTAGCTCCTTGGGGAAAAAGGAAGAAAAATCCCCAAATATCTATTGTCTTCTGTGCTCTTCCCCTTGGTAACCCTAGACTTCAGAAGTATTGCTCCTGGCCAATTTCTTCTTTTACTCAACATACTTCCCTTTCTTCTTCTTTTAGGTGTTAGTAAAAATCATCAGAACCTCATTAAAACAGACATTCTCCAAAATGTAGGGTACTGTCCTGCTCAAGGAAAATGACTACTTTTCTTTTTGAGAGATGTACAGTACAGCCTGGGATAAAGGCTGTGTTCCCACAGTGCCTGTGGGAGAAGGCAGCCCTAATAACCTGCATGATAAGCCATGAGGAAAATAAAATAAGGCCTAGCCATGCTGAGAAGGTGCAACAGACAGCCCCTTCACCTTGATCCCTAACCCAGCACTCCCATCTTGACAGCATACAGCTGCCTGACGGCAATCTGGTGAGAGGGCATAGTTAGAGAGTGCTATGGTTAGTTTCTTAACAGATCTGAGAAGTAACCTGATTTACTACTTAGCCATAACTGCATTTTTCAGAAAGGATAGGCAGAAGAGGAGGTAAAAATAATATAAAGGGCTTATGTGAGATTAGCAACTATAGATAACCTACTCTAGTTGCAAAGTTATCCCCATCTGGGGATCTTTTTTAAAGGAGGGGGATAACAACAATAACCAAAAGTCTCATAAAATAAGCAGGCCTCTTCAACTGGTCATCTATCTTACTGAATAAATTATGATGGTCAGTTGCAATCAGTGATTCCTCCCTTAGTTTTTTAAAAAAGACCAGTGGAAGCTTTTCATTATGCATACCCATATTGCCATCACCTTCTTTCCACTTATCCTTTTCACTCTTGGTAAATCCTCAGACTGGCAAACAGCATTGCTCTTAATATTTCTACTTCAAGATTTATAACTGTCAAAAGTTACCTGCTTACTTACATAGACCTTTCTCCTGAGAAGCTATCCCTAGCAGTTAATGCTGTTCTCCCATTAACACATACTTTGGGGGTAGAGGCTGAGTGACAAATGTGCAAAAAGCAAGGGGAAAAGGGACCATCCTCCATGCCCCCTTCCCACTGCCCCACCATACAGCGTGCCCCACTTCTTTTGCTCATAGCATCCCATGCCACGGGTTCATGCTCTTTTACCCTCTCATGGCGGGGACTCTGCTTGCCACGGCTGTCAGCATCAAGATCCCTGTATGTCTGTTGGCAACAAAGTAGAAACTTAAGCTCCATTCGGATGCTCTATTTGAAACTACTAGGTGAGAGTGGGACATTCAGAGGCAGAAATTCATTTCAATGCATATCCCCTGTCCCTACTGGTCTCCACCCAACTAACCATAACCCAAATCAAATTCCAGGACCCAAGAACAATTTTTTGCACAGCCATTCTGTCCACCTGGCCTCCAATGAGGTCAGCTATATAGACAAATAAAAAACTATGGTTAGTACAAAGGTGGAACAAGCACACTTCTTTCACACAGTGGCATGAGATCAGAGGCATTCAATTGAAGATTAGTAGGGTGAAGTTTTCCACAATAAGATATTAGAAAGGAAAGGTGCAGAGGTAAAAACTGGCTGGAATAAATGACCATTATGAGTCCAGAGGAAACTCAGGTAGACCCTCAAGAAAAACATGAGACCAAGGCATATTTTATTATAGGGAGAAGTAGATGAAGACTGGAAGCATTTTCAGTTTATAGACAGGAATACATACATGAGAGAAATGGGAACCTGTAACACAGGCACAGGGCTACCTTGCTGAACTGAGGAAATCATTAACAGTAATCACGAGAATGGGGAAGACCCCCATGCTCATTTACTAAGGACAACTAAGGACTTTCACCTTATACCATGTACTGGTGCAAAATTGATCCAAACCTTCCCATGTGGCTACCCAGAAGCAGACTGTCTCCATAAGCATAATGAGGCCAGAGCTTGGGCTCCTGAGGCTCATGACCAGGATTCAATTTTGGTTCCATTACTTCCTATGTGGTTCTATACAAATTACTTGGCTTCTCTACCCTGTGCTCAGTCTCCTCATTTGTAAAATGAAGATAATAATGGTACCTGCTTTGTATTGTTATGAGAACTGGCTAAGATGACACATGAAAGGAACTTGGGTCATAGTAAATGCTCATAATTGTTATAATTGTTAGCTATTAGAGACAAAGAATTGGGCAGTTACTCCCCCCCTCCCCAGTACTAGGGATTGAACCCAGGGCCTTGCACATGCTAGACAAATGCTCTACCACTGAGTTACACCTCCAATCCTGGTACCTGAATCTACCATGGCTCAGTTCTTAAACCAATGGACATACGTTGAACCTCTAAAATCAGACTATTGCTAGTAGTCCCCTTTTAAATAGGCTACCTTAATTGAGAAAATGTCTTTGCACAGATCCTGCCCTCCAAATTAGCATTTTATTTTACAGGGATATACCATAAAGGTCAACAAAGCCATTCTATAAATAAATAAGTATGCTTGCCACAAATGTTCACTAGCCATGTCTGTGGTTAATAATCTTTGTGTGGTTAATATTGTGTGTGTGTGTGTGTGTAATACTGGGGACTGAACCCAGGGCTTCATAAATGCTAGGAGGCAATGTATCATAGAGTTACCACCCTACCCCTGTAAAACAGCTTGAGTGATAGGCCCGGAATGTGAGTGGGGCAGATGGGGAAGGGTGAGCATTTGTTAGGAGGAACTGGGTAAGCAAGAATCAGGGCTCTCAGAATCAGAAGGAATCAAACTCACATAGGGAGGTCCTATAAAGCTTCCAAATGCCCATTTTAATCACAACTTATAGAAAAGCAAGAGAAAAATGGCTGCTTTAAATGGGATTTTATAAAAATGTGTTGCTATCAGGGCTTGTAGGCCTCAATCTCCACCAAATTTAGTTTTATATTTTAGTTTGTGGTTACATACTTATATTCCTAGGATGGAAACTAGATTAAACTGCCCAGGATTTGAATGTACAGTGCATTATCCTGAGGTCCAGTCAGGAAATGCCAATTTGTAGCACTATAGGTTGTTTCTGCTACAAATGGTTTCTACAAATGGTATATAACATTTAAGTAGAAAAGAGGGATTACTGAGTTGGTCTTTACACAGGCAGGCAAGAAGACAGATAGGACATAGAGCATGCAGAGAAGATCACCTGCTGGTCACTGTGCACCTGACAGGCAGGTGAAGTAGGGGGAGGAGAAAGTGTGATCACTTTTTTTGGGCAGGTCCGAGAACGTTCCTTTTCCCGTCGCTTTTACACCAATAGACACAAACAGAGAGAACATTGTTCAAACAATGGCTACATGAAGGGTAGTTCTGGAAGGGCTGATGGGCATTTTCCGAAGCAACCTGAGAGGCCCCTTCCTTGCCCCTCGAGCCTCAAAAGCAAATCACTTCAGGTTGGACTGACACCTTCTGTTAGGCACTGATGGCACAGGTAATCTATGTAGCTGGTGAGAACTTGTGATGTAGCACTTTCTGAATGACAGGAATCAAGGGATTTGGCAGGGAAGTTGGAGAACAGGAAAATGGTCTTAATTATAAGCAGAGAAAAAAGGCATTCGGGTCCACCATAAGTGATATAAGACTACCTCTTAAAAGTTGGTGATGCACACCCCACAGCAACAAAGCAGAACGCACAGGTATTTGTGATAATATCCTACCTACTCTTTTCACACCCTAAATAACATTCAAAATTTCTGAGAATACCAAGATAGTACAAAAAGTACAGGAAACAGGATAAAATAATTAGGCATACTTCACTAACTGATACCATATATATCTTCATGACTTTTTTCCTCATTCTGCACCTCTAAGAAAACTTCTCTGCATTTGAGAAGCAATTGCACATTATCTTGGGCCTCTTTGATTCCTTTCAGGTAATTCTTAGTTTTCTCTGACCAGATGACTGCCTGGGGTAGGCATACATGTAAAGCCTGCAGGAGGAAGGCTTTAGTAGTCATGAGACCAGGGGAAGCATCCCCACTGTTTGTTCCCACCTCATGTAACAATCTACTTCCAAACCAAGGCTGGTTCTTGCGCAGAGTTTGCGTACAGGATGCACTTCTGGGATCAAACGCAAAAGGAATAGGGAAGGAAAGAGCTACAGTGATTATACAGGAAGGTTAGGAAGAGAAGTCACTGGCAAGCAGAGTTGTTATTCATTTCTCTTCTTCCATACAATGACTGAAATTGAAACTGATTTTCTTGTCAACTCAGCAATCACTGCTGTGTCTGTCACACCCTCCTGCATCAGTGGGAACAATGTCAAGAGAAGCACAAAGTGAGCCACAATGAGGTGCTGCCAGTCAGCACCCAGTTCCTGAAGGGAGATGAGAGGCCAGCAATCAGGGCAAGACAGAAGCAGCAGCCAAAGTGCTCCCAAGTTCTTGTCTCTTTAGGTATCTGTAGAACCTGACATCGCATCCACCTCTAGTGTTCAGGAGATAAATTTAGAGGCCAACACTCAGGAAAAGATTATTATGTGAATATTATAAATTTCAAATAATATTCATCATCTCCAACTTTATAAAACCTAAAGCATATAAGGATCTAACAAGGTTTTCATTACTTGTGATTTCTTATTTACCCATCTACTTAGTTGCTCTATCCAGCTATAATCTCTGGTACTCATTACCTAGAACCTATGTTTGACTTTAAGGGTTTTAATCTGCTGAACAGATGGCCTGTTAGTATCACCCTACTTCACTGATTGTGACCATAATGACCTGATTACAAGCTATCTAAGTCTGGGTGAACCATAGTCTCCATACCAATCCCTGAAAAATGCTATAGGCTATCAGACAATCCATAAGAAGTCCCATAAAACCAAGCTCCTGATGCCTCTTCAGGGCAGCACCATCAGATTATGAGCTGATAAGTCCATCTTCACAGGACTGAGGCCATGACTCAGCCAACGTCTCAAGCCACATTCACTGCCCCACACTTCCCAGTAAGCCCACCAAAGCTATACCAGGCACATGACATATAGGATTATCTATCCACCCACTTGCATAGATTGCTTCTGATCTTCCCACTTTGTTTCTACCTCAGGCTACCCTCTATGAGTCTATATAGAGTTTCTAGAATCTAGTTTAGAATTTGCGTCACACCTCAATATCCTCAACTAAGATTACTTTTCAAATCTTATCTTCCATTTCAAGCAAGGGTAAGAAAATAAAATACAAGTAAATTTTTGATGAAAACATTTCAGAAGACCTCTCCTAAGCATAGAGAGAGGGAAGTTTGACTTTGGCTATGAGTTTGGACACCACTCCCAAGATTCCATCTTAGCCTTATGGGCCATGCCTTTCATGTGGCATATTATTATAGTTTTAGAAAGTAACATTTTTCCTGAATGCAATTTAAATAAGGCCCAATTCAAGGTTCTTCAGCATATTCTGTCAACAGAGGCTATACTACAGCACAAGAGGTGAGTGAGGCCAACTGTGGAAGATGCTAATAAAATCCAGGATCAGCTTATCTGACCTATCATTATCCTATCAGTTCTACATGATATCAAACTATGAGAAAGCTATTCTAGGTTCTATAGAGCAGGAATTTGCTCAATTGTGATAAGACTTCCAATTCCTCAGATAAGTTTCAGATAGGTTTTCTAAAACCAGGTATTGTTATCTGTTTCTTTCTACACTGTTAGGATGAGCAGTTTTCTGGGAAATCCTAAAACATTTTAGTGACAATGTCAAAGAGGGTGTTTTTGGAGGGTGGGGTGAGGTGGTGGGGGTACTGCTAGGGATGGAACCTAGGGTCTTGCACCTGATAGGCAAATCCTCTGTCACTGGGCTATACCTGTGGTCCCCCCAAAGAATATTTTATTAGTTAATCATTATTATATACATTTTTGAGATGAAGATTTCCTATGTTGCCCAGGCTGGCCTTGAACTCCTGGGCTAAAGCAACCTTCCTGTCTCAGTCTCCCAAGTAGCTGGGACTACAGGTACACTCCACATGCAGGCAAAAAGAGTTATTTCAAGTATGGACAAAACCCAAGAAAAATGCCCATGACACCTTTCTTTGTACAAAGTTTGAAACAAAACTATACTTCAAAACTACTGTCATGGTTGTCATTTCCCCATTTCATGTGAAAGGCTCTCTCCAGTGCCCCACCTCTACCCGCTATTCTCAGGTCTGATGAAGTCAAGATTCTCCCAGCAATGGACATGAGTAGAGAAGCTAGCAAAAAGTTAACATGGGACAAATGTTACAACAGTTAAAGCCCCCAAGGCTGACATACCTAAAAAGCTTGTCAAATCACTTCAGCTAGTTTCAGCATCAAATTAACAGTCTGCCTTTTAAACTGATTTCTCAAATCCCAAGGAGTTAACTGAATCATGGAATTGAATCAGCACTGTCTGTTCAATATTTTCTCAGAGTTACTGCTCAAATGAGCATAGAGCCTTCTAGCCATTGTGAGCTAGGCTTCTCAAGGGCAGGTATGAACACGGGCTGACCCAGAAGCAGGAGTAGAGTGGAAAGACCTATGGCAACAGCCCCCATCCTAATCCCTGGGCAGTTCCTTTACCTGTTTCCACTGGGGGATGGGAGCAGGGAGACCCTGCTCAGGCAGGCAGCAGGTCGGCTGGCTGACCCCACGCTCTTGTGTCGGCTGTGACACACAGGCCAAGTGTGGGTGGGGGACAGACATGGAGACAAAACAAAATAAAATACATTAAGGTAGGAAAAGACACCGAAAAAAAAAAAGTACCCATGGAAGACAGACATTGATCTATGAACTGTGGAGAAGGCAGGTGGAATTTACGGAAGGAAGGAAGGAAGGGAAGGAAGGAAAGGAAGGAGCCCCCCAAACCAAAAGTACAAAAAAGAAGGAAAAAAAAATAAGAGAGACAGAAGCTGTGATTCTCCTTATTCTTTCCCTATACCCAAAGCTCTCTGTCTAAACTACTAACTTTAATTTGGAAAACTAATGAGGAAAGCAACCTTTTCTTGGAAGCAATTTACCTCCCAAAAAGGGCATTCTGGCCTGCCTGAGAACCTGGGGTTGCAACCTCTAATGTTTCCCAGTGAATAATACTATCTTTCCTGCAAGCCACAACATGAAAAGATAGGAGTACAAATACTAATACTAATAACTAAAGATGAGATGTGGTCAGATGCCAAGAAAATCAGTGCCACCTGCCTGGTTCATGGGGACAATGGTTGATAAGAGTATGGAGAAGATAAAGAGACAAAGAGAACAAAAAGAATTGGCCTCCTGTCCTTTGGATAACCTTTCAGGTTATCAGGGAGTTTTATAGGAATTTTCAGTATAAATATCAAAATCCCAATGCCCACTTTTGTAAGAAGCCCTGGTGAAGCAAGGCAGTGAAAAGACTTAACAAAGAACACCTCAGGTCAAATACTGTCTGGGTACTCTCATGCATAAACTGGGGTGTGTAATTTAGTATCCAAATGTTCACATTCTGAGTAATATCCTAGAAAAACACTTTGCAACACACAAAAAAACAGCTTTATTGCAAGAATGGTTACCTCTATTTCATCATGAAAGATGGGGAAAAACTAAAACAACCAACACTAGAATGACTCAGCACATTTTGGAAAATGCCAAAAAGATTTGGGAACACATGGGAATGTGCCTAAAGTTAAATGAAAATAGCAGAATAGAAAAATTCATGTTAAAATGACCACCATTATGAAAACAAGAAAGCATGGGGGAGGGGAGAAAACCAGAAAGCAATGCAGGAGTATATTAGCAAAATTATAGGTACCTCAGTTATCTTTACTATGCTTTTCAGCATTTTAATCAATAAGCACATACTTATTTTATAATTTAAATATGTGTGTGTGAATTTATACCCGTATATAGATAGATGTATAATCATATATTTTTTAGATCCCACTTGACTTCGTTAAAGATGCCTCAGACTTATGCAGAACATAAAGCAGCACTGAATGCCTAACATGAGCTTAGGAAATACATATCTCTATCACAGTCAGACAAGAGAAAATTAGACACTAGTTTTGAGCGACACGGTCTGTCTCACTGATAAGGTCCTCCTTCCTGTATGACTTGGCCAGTCTGGGTGGGAGATGTGCTTACCTGTCTCCTTATGCCAGTAGTCTGTGCAGGCGCATTTTCTTCAAATTTGGCCAAAAGCTGGGTTGCCATGTACTTCACTTTATTCTGGTTTCCAACAGCAACATCCATCCTCCTGTCTGTCAGGGTGCTCACCAGTGTTGGTCTTTCTCCTCTGTAGCCCCTGGGAGTTTCCTCCTGACAAATGGCAAGTACCAGAGAACCAGACTATTATAGGTACCCTTCACTTACTTCCTCCTCCCTTAAAGAAGTGTAATCAGGATCCACACAGTAGCTTTAGGTTGAGTTTAACAGCTCTCTTTAAGGTACCAATCTCCAAATAGTCAATAAGACCCTTGCACATGGGGCATTATAAGAGTTTTTGGACTTGTGCTGGTATCACCATTTCCCACAAAAGCCTCTGTAGTTGGCCAAACTGTGTGACTCCAAAGAGATAGGAAGGTCTAAGTGCACATGTGTATATATGTTTCCTGGTTGTTCTCTAGAAAATTAAATAAAGATCCACAGAAAAAGCTGCTCACAGAAGTTCTCATAAAGGATCTAGTGAAACCAATTTGGGAATTAACAATTTAAACCAAAAAGGAAAATTTAGTGTAATAGTTCTAGCAAATCCCCAGATGAATCTCACCTCCTCTGATTGACTAGTTTTTCTCCTCTTTCCAGCTCCATCCAAGTCCTTTTCCTTTTTATCCTGCAACAAGAAAAGAAGGAAGCCACATCATTCTGTTCACTACACTTTGTCATTAACTTGCAGTTACTAGAAAAATGACTCCCACGTGTTGGTACCTTGGGAGAACGCTTCCGAGAGATGGTCTGCCCAAGTTTGCTCAGGAAGGAGATAGGGGATTTGGTGCTGGCTATCAGAACGGCTTTTTCCTCAGCATTCAAGTCCAAGGTGTCTGTAAAGAGAAATCAGCAGTGTTCAAGGACAGCCCTCGAGGGTGCTATGAAGTCCTGACCAGAACCACTCTGTCTTCTTCGAGGGGCTCATGGAAAGGAATCTCAGGAAGCTCTAAAGGCAGCTCTTTGTAGAAATGCCACAAAGGAAATGCACGTTTGAGTCTGGACATTAACCCTTCTCTTTTCCACCCACATTAACAAAACAAACTCTTTCCTCAATATACTTCCATTACAAAAAACTGCCCTTCTGCTTTTTTAAGGTCATTAAGTGCTAAAGCCTTACTTTGGTAATAAAAATTTCAGGACAGAGAGAGGGAAAGGGAGAGAGCAGAGCAGAGCCTAATAGGGTCATTGGTTTGGGTAGATGTAGAGGCCATGGTCTTCGCTGAGTATACTAAGGGGCTCCCCCTAAATGGGAATATTTTTGTTAGAGTTGCATGTTTCACTTTTAAGAATAGCGTATATAATCGGGAAGAGACTCAGATGCCTACAAGAGTCATGGACTAGAAGACACTCAGGAGTGGTACCATAAACTTTATGGATTCCAAAATTTTATTAGTAGCAATAGTAATTGAAACTAATAAAAAGAAATCACTAAAATTTATTAAGTGGTCCCATATGCCAAACATTCTTTGTAGCATATCATAATGTAATTATGTATATTATCCCATTTTACATATTACTTACATGAGGCATAGGGAAATTTAATAACTTGCCCTAGGTCAAACAAGTGAAAATACTGGGATACAAATTCAGGTCAGATACTACAGTCAACACTGTTAGAAATTATACTACATTTATTTCACAGGGCAATAAATGACAATAAGAATATTTTTTGTAGCCCCATGATAAGTAGAGGCAGCAGGCAAAGAGCCAACAAGAGATTTTTGGGAAACCCTAAAAGGTAGAAAGAGAAACTAGAGAGGGAACAGTTACAGAAGAAAGAATAGTAGGGCACTGTTACAGAAGCTGAGAAGAGAGAATTTCAAGGAAGAGAACATTTATTCTATAGTGTTGAATGATGCAGAAGAGGCAACTACATGAGAATGAGAAAAGAATATGGAAGGATGATTCTTCCTAACTGTAGAAAACTGTGTTGAGAGAGTAGTACAAAGATAAGATGGATTTCAAAGTGTTATAAAGTTTAGGTAGTAAATAGAGGCCACAAACATGAACCACTTCAGAAGGGCTGGTTCTGAGGAAAGGAGAAGGAGAAGGCAGGAGAGTTGAGGGGAACAAAAAAAGTTTGAGCAGGAATGATTTTTTCATATTTACAGATTAAGTAAAAAAACTTTGTAAAATAATGAATGGTTTAGAACATAAGACTAGAAAAGGGAAAAATAATGAAGCAATTTTCAGAGAGCCCTACTGATAACTGAGACATTTCAGTTATATTGCGTAGAAGGAAATGCCTTCTATCCCAAGTTGGAATTAGGATCTCAGCAAACACAGATCTGCTTTGCCTCCACATTGAGCAGTAGAAACAGAGTAAGCCTGAGCTTGGTGGTATTGTATTTAGTGGTACTGATGAAGGGCACAATTGGAAGGAAAGACAGAAATGCCTGGACAATAGCTCAACAGGATACTAAGAATTCCATACCACACCCACCAGCTCCTTACCAGTAGAGGTGAGTGAGTCCTTAAACATCTCATAGAACTGAGTCAGGTACATCACCATGGACAGCTTGTCAGGCTCCCCAACAGAGGCCATGTCTTTGCCTGTCATGATGGGAGAGATGCCCAGTTCTTTCTCAGCAATATCAAAGGCCAGCTGGTTATTCTTCTCCACATTTTGTTCATCCAAAGAATCAAAATCTCTGAGAAACAGGACAAGGAATATAGATCAAGTTGGGCTGACTGTCCTCAAACCAGAACATACAATATCACGGGATCACAGTCATTTCTTGGTCTTTCTGACTAAAATCCAGGGAGCAGTGCATCACTAGGATCTGAGAGCAGACCTGTTTTTCTCACCTCTTATTCTCCTTCCTTTGACTAAGGAAATGCAAAGCATCCTCAAGAAGAAATGATTAAAGATCTATCCAATAAAGGAGAAAAAGAGGGAAAAAGTTGGCTCCTCTCATCTTTCCAGGGACACAAAATGTAAACTCAGTACAGGAACTATCTTTAATATAGATTCATCTATACCCAAGTGCCCACATACAAATGAATGTCAAATAGTAGTATGAATCCTATCTGGATCAGACTGCTCCTAATAGCCAAAGCTACTACCACCATGGCCCTTGGCCCTGGCAAGCTGCTAATGTCCTAAAAATCAGCTCTGGTAAATCTTACACAGCTTTCTCCTGATGGGAAATTCCAAAACCTACATAAGATTTTCCCATTGCTAAATTTCCTGAGTTTTCCCAAGTATTTAGATTAACAAATATTTCCTATTGGGTTTGAAGCTTCTTGCTATTCAGAGTGATATCTGACAGTATTATTTTTTGGGGGGGGAGGGGTTTTGCTGGGAATTGAACCCAGGACCTTGTGAATGCTAGGCAAACACTCTACCAAATGAGTTATATCCCAAGCCCCAACATGCTTGTTTAGGTGACTTCAGATTACCTGGAAACCCTTACTTTGTGCTAACCTACTGAACCTGTGGCATTTTTTCATTAAACAAAAAACAAAAAACACCCTACTTCCTTTTCTCTCACTGCTTTATGTTTGCTGTAACTCCCCTGGGCCTTCTCCAGGCACGCTTTGGTGTAATCTAACAGGAATGTGTCTCCTCTGTCCCATACTCACCCCTGTAACCCATCCACTAGGTCCTCTCAACTTTTCCTGTCATTATCCTTCCCTTTCTTGCCCTCCATTTGGAAAAGAACTTATCACTTGCCTCATCTTCTGAAGCCCTTCTGTGCCTTTTGTCATAATTTTTTTTTTCAAGCTGTTTTCCCTCCCCACTCCTTTCTTTTGTGGGAGTGAATAAGTACTATTTTCATTTACCTTCTACCAACTTCTGGATGAGTTGAATGCAGGAACATTGGGGGGTCACTTACATTAATTGAAGCATATTAGAAATCCTCTACTCTTTTCTTTTTACAGCCCGGTATGGAACCCAAGGCCTTATGCATGCTAGGCAAGTGCTCTTCTGAGCCATATCCTCAAGTCCTCTCCATTTAAATTCTACACTGTGCAAAGCTGTTTTTATTAGATTTGCCTCTTTAGTTTATAACTATCTCATATATATATGGACTATGTACTTTAGGATTTCTTAAGCAATTTTAAAATAAACAAGAAGTAGGCCATTAAATGGACGTAATGATAAAAGGTACAGGCAGCCAGAATAATTCAATGCACTCTACTTCTATTTCTGAATCTTTCTGTTTGGCTTCTATGGTTATGAATGCCTGTGAGGGAAATCCAGCCACCACAGCTGACCTGGGGTAAGCCTAGTGCACTGATTCTGTAGATAGGTGGACGAAGAATCGACAAAAGAGATGTTACTAGTATACTGGGTAAGATGACATGAACTTCATGAGCTTGACAGAATTTTTTTTTTATTTTATTTTTTTAGTTATAGTTGGACACAATACCTTTATTTTATTTATCTACTTTTATGTGGTGCTAAGGTTCGAACTCAGGCCTCGCACATGCTAGGCAAGTGCTCTACCACTGAGCCACAACCCCAGCCCCTGACAGAATTATATTTGCAAAAAGTGTAGTCATTGACAAGAAAATATCAATGAACCATCATAAACTGGTAAGTATTCATTGTTTTCGGTTTCACTGGCAGTGACATATTTGTTTTGAGCTAGCCAAGTGTTCAGTGTTCTAGCCAGGTTTCCCATGTGACCAACAGCATCTGAGATGGCTGGCCAAAATGAAGAGTTCAACCTGGGGCCAATAAACAGAGTTTTCCCTTGTGTAAAGTTAACAGGTCCAGGTGGGTGTTAAGCCAATTTTTTACTTTGAGTGCTGTGATTTTTAAAAACCCAGCTAATTTCCAGGTGTAGTAGTTTATATCTTTAATTCCAGCAACTTGAGAGGCTGAGGCAGGATTGCAAGTTTGAGGCCAGCCTCAGCAACTTAGTAAAAAAAGAATAAAAAGGACTAGGGATGTAGTGAGGATGTAGCTCAGCGGTAAAGTGCCCCTTTGTTTAATCCCCAGTACTAAAACTAACAAACAAAACACACAACTCAGCTAATTGTTCCTGGACTGAGCAACACAATGCTTGACATATGAAGTTTTAAATATAGCTAAATCAAATCACAGTCTTCTGGAGAATGCATCCCACTATGTATCTCATTTTGGAAAGAGTACAAAATTTGACTACTTGATAGCAGGGTGCTCTGAGATCTTTGGTGGATATAAAATAAAAAGTACAGTCATGACTTACATCAGATCAGGACGGTATCTGTGGATAATTGCACATAGAGCCAGGCCACTTTTCCAAGACATGGTGAGATCTGTCACATTTACTCCTGCGTAACCATCTGTCTGCCTTTGGCACCAACTTAGCAGTTTGCTTGAACGAGCTACAGATTCTAAAACAATAAAACAACTATTATTGGAAGTGTGGTTACCTAGCAACACTAATATAAGATCTGCTTTGCAGTACACATATCCAGTTCGAAAAATTACTAAAGGTAGGGACAAAAACAGTCATTTCTAGACTTCAAAAGAAAACAGTGAGGACAATGTTATATAACTGGTATCATGATCCTGGAATTTTAGGTACCAATATACTCATATTCTAAAGTCAACATCCAGCCTGTGAAGAGACTAAAATTTCACAACTGGGTACTTGTGCTGAAGCCCAGTGTCCCTGGGAAACTCCTGAAAACTGGCTTAGATGGAAGAGTACCACTACTGAGCTGTCACCCTCACCTGCAGAGCAGTCTTAGGATTTCCCTGGAGGGTTGCTGGGTCTGAGGAAACCTTTTCCTCCAAAGCAACACTGGAGAGATTCTATTCTATCTAGCAGCACCTTAAAGTAAAAATAATTAAAGACTTGCTCTTATAATTTCTAAAATACTGAACAATTTGTGAAGTGATGACACTCTGTATGGTTACATTGACAAAGGCTAAGGACCCCAGACTATAACAATACTCCAGACCCAGTTTGGTACCCTGTATTATAAATGATCACATCTTGAGAAACTGAGTAGGCAAACACATACACCTGGATGTTTTCCAGTTCATTGACATGTTTCTAAAACCAGAATGATCATGCCTTGGAAGAGCTATGATATGGATCATTTGAGAGAATCTGTGAATTCCTATTTGTGTCCAAGAAAGTCTGTTCCCTTCCCTAAGGCAGCTGGAAATATTTAGCTTGGCACTAAGTAATTTAGAGATTTGTGAACATAAGATAAAACTGCTATCATAAAAGTCCTGGTTAAGTCTTTCACAGGAAATATATTCTGAGATTACACATAGAACTACCCCTAGTGCTATCTTTTAGCTCAGATATTGACTTTATTCAGATGCTTCCCAAGTCTAGATATTCATACATCCAATATGTGCTGGGCAACTTTTTGGCCAGCTTTTTGGCCACCATAAGGCTTTGTTCTACCACAGGCTCCCTGCCATGATGTTCTGTTTCACCACAGTCCCGAAAACAACGAAGCCAAGTGATTATAATCTGAAACCATGAGGCAAAATATATCTTTCCTCCTTTAAGTTGGTTTACCTCAGGTATTTTGTCACAGCAATAGAAAGCTGATGAATACAACCGTCCAATGGAGAAAGGAAAATGTTTTAATCTGCCTGTTGATTCATATATTCATCTTGATATCTCCAAAGCACATCAAATTCAAAATGTCCAAAATGGAACTCAAAACTTCTCACCCTCCCACTTCCTTGTTGAGATTGATGCAGTACCCATCTTTTGCCCCTAAGGGCAATCAACTGGCAAAGTCCACTGATTCTGGCTTCTTAATAGTCTCTCACGTAGGGACTGCAAATTGGTGCAACCACTCTGGAAAGCAGTATGGAGATTCCTCAGAAAACTTGGAATGGAACCACTATTTAACCCAATTATCCCACTCTGAGGTTTATACCTAAAGGACTTAAAATCAACATACTACAGTGACACAGCCACATCAATGTTTATAGAAACTCAATTCACAATAGCTAAGCTATGGAACCAATGTAGATGCCCTTCAACTGATGAGTGGATAAAGGAAATGTGGTACATATACACAATGGAATATTACTCAGCCATAAAGAAAAATGAAATTATGGTATTTGCTGGTAAATGGATGGTACTGGAGACTACTGTGTTAAGTAAAATAAGCCAATCTGAAAAACAAAGGCCAAATGTACTCTCTGATATGTGGATGCTGACTCACAATGGGCAGGAAAGGGAGGTGGGAAGTGGGGAAAGAGAAGGAGAATGGGAATGGGAAAGACAGTAGAATGAATCAGATATAACTTTTCTATGTTCTTATGTGAATATATGAATGTGAATATATGTAATCCCAAATCATGTACAACCACAAAAATGGGAAGTTATACTCCATGTTTGTAAGATATGTCAAAATACACTCTACTGTTATATATAACTAAAAAAGAAACAAGAAATTAAAAAATAGTCTCTCATACATAATTAATAAGGGCAATGTTTTTGATTACCCACTCCATGCTATGCATTGTAATAAGTGCTCTACATATGTCACATAATCTTCATGATCAACATAGGAGGAAGCTATTATTATTCTCTTTTCAAAGATGAGGAAACTGAAGTTCGGATGTGTTAACTAATGTGTTCAAGGCCACACATTTTGCAAATGGCAAGACTTGGTCTGAGACCCAGCTGCACCTGGCCCCAAAGTCCAAGTTTTTCTAACTGTGATCTACCACTTTCTCCCTTCTCTATTTCCAGCTCAGTATCAGATTTAGGGTTCATCCCGTGTAGTTTGATTATTGCAATGTATTTCCAACTAATCTCCTAGCCTGTCATGTATTTCCCTTCTCCAGTCTATCTTAATTATAGCTGACCAGGTGTACTCAATGTCAAATAAAAACTTCAGGGACCTCTCAATACACACAAAATATGGAATGGCTTTTGCCTTTAACATGTATAATGGCAACACCACAGGCCCCAGCTAAAATGCTACAACATGTTCTATAAGCTTCCCCACAAAACTTAAAAGTGGGTGTAGTATGCACACTCTCTTTTTCCTCTCCAGCATCTGTATCTAATTTATCTCTACTCATAACACCTTAGCCCAAGGTAATTTTTTGTTGTGGGAACCTTTCTTGTACATTATAGCAGGTTTAGCAACATTGCTGGATTATATCCACCTAGAAACAGTAGCAACCTCCCCAAGTCATGACAACCAAGAATGTCCTCAGGAACAACCAAATGTTTCTTGGAGGGCAAAACCACTCCTGGCTGAAAACCACTGCCATATATGGTATTATGTTCATGTGATGGCTTTTGAGTAGACTTCTCTGAAAAGGGTTACCTGTCTTTCAAAAAACCATTTCCAGAACTCACCATTGCGAGTCAACTTTGGGGTAGTTCGGGAATTCACTAGGTTCTCCATTTCCAAATGAATATCTTTCGTTTCTCCAGTATCATATAAATGGCGCACCTGGCAGAAAATTGAAAAGAAGGAAAATCAAACACCATGTAACAAATTCCCACCTAAAAACAGAATGACTACGATGAAAGACTGGGAAAGTGGATTAAGTTTATTTATTTGTGTGTATGTTTATTTACGTATTTTTTGTTTTGGTGGTGGCAGTGCTGTAGGTCAAACCCCAAGCCTTTTGTATGCTAGCATGCACTCTACCACTGGGAGTTACACCCTCAACCCCATGGTAAAGTTCAGACAGAAGTTAAGGTGATAACCTTTAAATCTTTTATGGAATGGGTTAGGTTATATAGAAACAAATACATAGCAACTGTAAGAAATTATGCTGAAAGTTAACTACTCAATCACAGAGGTCCCTCTGGTGAGTCTCTGTTGGACAATTAAGCCTGCTCATTAACAGGATTTATAAACATTTTACCACATATATACAGAAGACAAAAAATTACTCTGGAACACAGAAAATATATCAAATAGGTTCCTTTCTAAAATTCTATTCTTAGGGATTGTTATGCTTTGTAAAATGTCATTCTCAATACAGTAATGAAGGTTCAGAGTTTCTGAGAACACAACAGAACCAAAAAATAATTGGTTTACAATAATAACAATATCTTCTACTTTTATGTTTTTATTTTCCAATGTTCCTTCCAGAGAACAATCTCATTTGCACTTACAATGATCCCTTGAGTAGGAATTCCACTTCTCAGCTGAAAAACTGAGGCTCAGACATAGTAAAATGACCCATCTGAGTCACAGGTGATTAGTGACCAACAGGCAAGTGGAAGTCACATCTTCAGAATACTGAATCAATCAATCAACGCTCTTTCCCTGACTGTATGTGATTTAAATTAAGAGGCATGGGATGAAGTCCTAGGTACACTATTTTGGTCACATTTTATCTTCTGTAAGTATTCAACAACTCCATGCCTTAGTTGCTCAACATGTTGATGGAAAATAATACCTACTTCCACCAATTCAGAGAGATACCGACTTGGATTACTGAAATTATGTTTATGTATAGGTATATGGGATTACTGAAAGTGTATATGGTATTAAAACCAAACATAATTATATACATTTTGATCTATTAGAGTTCTGATCAGTCCTGAGAATAGGCCCAGATGCACATATCTGACTAGAATGCTCTTACCTGGCTTGGCCGGAGGAAGTTGACATTAATATTGGGATACCTAGTGACAGGGTCGATGCTATACTGGCTGAAGTTCTTGCTCACATTCTCAGGAGTGGTTTGAGGCAGCAACCTATAAATGCTTTCCCTGCAATAACACACAACATAGAGTGACAAGCACAATAAACATTTTCCTCTTTTGTAATATTTGTTTTGACAGTCCACCAAATTATCTGATGTATACAATATATCTTCATTCTTGGAAAGTTTTCTTTGACTCTACGTCAACCCTAGCTTCTCAGAACCACCACCACTCAGTGATTTCAAGGACAATGGATTAGTTAAGAGCCAAAGAGAAGAACAGGACAATGCTATGGGGAGTGATAATTGTCTGGTCTAATTTAAAAGGCAACTAATTTACTATTGTGTTTTTAAGTGTGCCAATATATACTTTAATTTTAAAAATTAGGTAAAAAGAGAACCTGTCACCACATTAAGCCAGAATGCCTTAAGGTTTGAGAAATGTTTTAAAACAATTTGGCGTTATCCTTTCAATCCTTTCCGTTTCTTATGTTAGCATGGTCTGACTACGACAATGACTTCATCAGTTTAAGCCTTTCTAGCTTAAGGTCAGGATGATCTAAATTGCACTTTTAAAGTATTTGTTCACGTAATGGTCATAAAAGAACCAGAGGGTATACAGAGACTCCAGATATTATTTTCTAATAATAAATTCATTTAGAAAGGGACAAGAGAACAGTCCCATTAGGTCATCTTTAGGTTTCTAAAATTTTATGAAATATCTTGCCTTTCCTCTTTTTTAAAAAAAAAAAATTATTTTTTTCTTAGTTGGTAGTTAGACACAATACCTTTGTTTTTATTTATTTATTTTTATGTGGTGCTGAGGATCAAACCCAGGGCCTCACACACGCTAGGTGAGCGTACTACTGCTGAACCACAGCCCCAGCCTCACCTTTCCTCTCTTACATATAAAAATATCTTTAATGAATAAAGGAAGAGAGAAAGAAGGAGGAAGAACTTTTACTCAGCCTGAGGAATAAGCCACTCCTTTTTTCCAGTTTTTTCATGGAAGAGACTTATTACCTCTCTGCCAGGACTTCCAAGGGGCTGGTTCCTAGAGACCAACTTCGTACCATCCAGGCAGAGTCCATAGCAGCTAGAAAGCCCCGGGCTATTCCTGTTCCCATGGGCCAGAATGGCTATGAAAGAGATACAAGACAGAGTCAAAATAAGTTATCTTTTTTCTCTTCAGTACTGGGGATTGAACTTGGGGCCTAGCTCATGCTAGGCAAATGCTTTACCATTGAACTACAACCTTAGTCCTTTTTATTTTATTTTGTCATTTAATTGCCAATGCTGGCCTCGAATTTGTAATCCTCCTGCGTCAGCCTCCCAAGTAGCTGAGATTACAGGCTAATACTACCATACCCAGCTAATAAATCATTTTTAAAAGAGTTAAGCTAAACTGAAGAACAAAAGAAAGTGTGCTGCCAACAGTTGTATTTGGCAACTATTCAGACTCTGGACATCTCCATTTCACAAACTAGTAGAGAGGCAAGTTATAAAAGTTGCAAAATTTCTAACCATTCTTAATGTCATTATTTTTTTCCTGGTTGGTATAACTCCTGCAGAGGTCTTGCCTATGCTGCTGATGCTCACTCTACAGCCAGTATACCCAGATTTGCTCCTCATTATTACTGTTCCTCAGTAATGCCTTTACTATAAAGTGCTGTTTCCCTTAGTACTCACCTCTAGGAGGCTGTCCCCAACCAGAGCCACTAATAACTGATGTCCATTCTGTTCCCGTACCAAGGCTGCATTCTCAGAGGCATACATACAAGTGAAGTCAAACATGGCCACATCAGGCTGCCCATAATGATTGATGGCAAAATCTAGAGAGGGCAGCTGCTGTTGCGTGGAGAAGTCAGCCGCCTCCCGGGCATAGTTTAGCAATGCCTCCTGGTCCACGTTCTCCCGGGAAAGCAAGAGTTCTGTGTCAGCATAGTCCTGTCCAGAGAAAGAAGAGGTACAAGATGGAAAAACCCAGGCAGGGATGGCTTGACTTGAACAGAAAATGTTAGACATAACCTAGTTCCACAGCTTTTCCTTCCCCTTAAAGTGATTTAATATTCCACCAAGCTTGTACACAAAGTAAAAAGAAGTTTTTGGGTAGGGGTGTTTCTAAGAGTAAATAGGCTTTGCTGCCTAAAAACAGTCTTGGCTTTTCTATTTGCTTGGAGCAAGTCGCTACTCCTCTGGTCCTGGCTTACCTACCTCACAGAGTTGTTCTGAATAACAAATTAAATAATTTCTGTAAGCTGAAAAAGTATTTAATGGTTTATGTTATCTTCTATAATCATTATCTTTTGAATAGCAAACAGCTTTTTTTTTCAGCTGGGAACTCAGACTTGCATAGCTCATCATGCTTAAAGGAAGAACCTGAAAAGCTTCAGTGCCAAAGAGATGTGGCACTAGGAACATTGGTAGCTAAGGAGGATGGGAAGGAATGAACTGAAAATGGAACACAGGTTTTCAAAATCATATATAAGATTCTGTAAGGCTCTATAGAAAATCACCAACAGGAAAAAACAAAAATGAGAGAAAAAGAGCTTTAAGTAAGGGACTAAAAAGCTCCTTTTCTGCTTTGGAGGTTCTTGCACACTGAGCCAAGTCTCTGTTCTCCTGAAATGGGGACTCAGTTTCCAAGTATTACTGATGGTACTTTCAGCTACAACTATAAGATGTCAGAAGTCAAAACACAAACACTCTGGTTGGTTCTAGAAATACTGCTTGTTCAACATTAAATGGCTACAGTGGGTTTAGTTTATAAACAGCACTCACAGAAGGCACAGCTCCTGCCCTATAAAAAATGAAAACAAAAAGTAAAAGAGATCTTAATTTAACAGTCTAGATTGCTCTTATCTACTTTTGACTGACAACCACAGCTCTGCCCAGATGGTAAATTTAAGTCTTAACTTAGTCCCAGGCATCTCAACTGCTTTACTGGCTAGTTCTTATTGATAACAATAAAATAGCCCCAGATAATGAACACTTTATAAAGCATCCAGCCAAGTATGTCTTGCTTCTGCTTTGGCAGAATGGGCTATACAAACTGCTTTGTCCTGTTTCTCCCTGCATATCTACAGGACTGCTATGCTGAGAAACAGACACAAGGTTCATGGGTGGAAAGGAGACTCTGTGTTGCAAGCATGTGCTCCTCAGCTCATTCTCCATTTGGTCTCAATATGGCAACAGTGTGACTCAGACTAAAAGGACTTGATTCATTATCATTCTACAAAGACAAAGGGCTCCCTGAGATTCAGCTTTGAGTCTGGTGGGAATTGTACAAGCCTAAATCAACACCTCTGGTGTTTATTTGCTTCTAACTGTTTCATCACACAGGGGAAGTAATTCCCATATTCAGACCAATGAGACCAACTAAGATTTAAGACACTTTCCTTAAAAAACCATCCACCTTGCAACTCTCTGATTTCAGATTATCTCCACACAATTAGTTTTGCAAAAAAAAAAGGCTGGCTAAAGATGGACATTAGGCCCTTGTTGTTCAGTCTGAACAAAGCCTAAATATACCAATTCAGTGTTGCCACAGTAAAACCAGAGCCATAATCAGGCTGTCATAAGCACCAAGCATTGCTTCTTGGTTGAACTCTCTTACCTCTATCACTTCCCTCCCAAAAAAAGATCTACTGACCAACCAATAATTGGTCATACATGAAATTCATTATAATCTCAAACAAAGTCACCTAAAATTAAACTGACTATTTATGCAAGAAATGATTCTTTACATTTGCTTTGAAACAATCCAATGGCAGGAGAGGTGAGTGGAGTGGGGTTTTATTGAAACAATATTGGCCATGTTAATAACTGCTCAAGCTAAAGAATGGGCATAAGAGTTCATTATACTATTCTCCCTATTTCTGTTAAATTAACAATTTTCCATAATAAAAATATTTTTTTCAAAGTTAAACTAAAAACCATCAGTGATTTGAGGAGATGTGTTCAATGCTCATCTTTATTCCCTTGCAGAAAAATCCCATCAGACAATAAAGCCCTTTCTCTTGGTGATCATATTAACAAATTCAACAAAAGTGGTTTGAAAGAGATCCATTGCTCACATGCAGTATCACCCCTTTGTCCAGTAAACTCTGCTTTTTGGCTGTCATAACGAAATAGTGCGTGTCATCTTTGTAGTAGACGATGTTCTCCAAATCAATACCTGCAACCAGAAAACAAACATGCATAGGAGTTTGCTGAGTAGGGCAGCCAGAGAGACTACTTGGGTCTATCTAAGACAGGATCATAAAATTCCAAGCAGGAAGATGTTTAGGTCCAGATTCTCTCTTCCTGCCTATTCAGTTCATGAAAATAAGGGGAGATTTGTTTCCCTCTGTACTATTATTAATTCAACTTAAGTTATTCTGAAAACAATGACCAAAAGTTAACACAAACATAAGAATTGGAAAAAAAAAAAAAAGAGGGTAATCCTTAAAGAGGGCATGGCTTAGTTAACAGATTAAACCTCTTTGAGTCATCAAGGAAGCTAGAGAACTAGAGAAATCTCATAAACTGGGCATGGTTGCATACACCTATAATCCTAGCAGCTCAGGAGGTTGAGGCAGGAGGATTACAGGTTCAAAGTAACTTAGGCTGTGAGCAACCAAGTGAGACCTTGTCACAAAATAAAAAATAAGAAAGTCTTTGGGGGCAGCTGGGGTTGTGGCTCAGCAGTTGAGCGCTCGCCTAGCATGTGTGAGGCACTGGGTTCGATCCTCAGCACCACATAAAAATAAATAATAAAAAAAAAATAAACGTAAATTTTTTTTTTTTTTTTTTAAAAAGGGGAGGTGGTGGTGATGTGGCTCAGTGGTTAAGTGCCCTTGGGTTCAATCCCTGGTACCAAAACAAAAACAAAAACAGGGTAGATGCCTGGAAGTAGAGAATGAGCTATTGTCTTTTTAATTCTATTCATCTAAAAAAACGAAGGCAATGAAATCAAGTCTAGAAAATAGAGAAAAACATCTTATTTTATTTTTATATGGTGCTGAGGATTGAACCCAGGGCCCCGCGCGTGCCAGGCCAGCACGTTACTGCTTGAGCCACATCCTCAGCACCACATAAAAATAAAATAAAATAAGATGTTGTATCCACCGAAAACTGAAAAATAAATATTAAAAAAAAGTTCTTTCTAAAAAAAAAAAAAAGAAAATAGAGAATAAAATACATATTTTTTTTTTGTTGCAGCAAAATACATCTATTCAAAAGCCATCATACAACAATGTCATTCCTATCTGTCACATGGTTTGCTTTCAAGTTCAAATGAACTCAGGAAGAAGACTGCATACTTAATATCTGTTAGGTTCTCAATAAAACCAGAGAGCTACCAACTGGCAGTTTGCTATATCCAGTGCCATAACTTAGCATCACAATGTAGAGGTAAGGGATTGGGGATGAGTTGGTAGAAGGCAGAATGAATACTTTAAAACAAAACAATAAATAAAAACAAAATCTAGAGCAGCCTAGCCATTGTGCTAAAGACTGATAATGCTAGAGCAGGAGACAGAATGATATGGGACCATTAAGCTAAGAACAAAGCACAGGAGTGAAGAAAAAGCAGGACAAATGACATAACAGTAATAACAAGCACCATCCACCCTATCAAACCCCCAAGAAAAAAGTAATAAGTAACCATTTCAATGTTTAACCTTATTACTTTGGAGGAATCTATACCAACCTGTGGCTTCTCGCAGCTCCTGGAAAAATTTTTGGTTAAATATGAAAGCCACACCACTGATCTCTTCCACTTTGGCTTCTGCTGTTGTATTTCGGTTAATAAAATTTGCTGTAATGGCAATAGCTAGTTTGCCACGAAATTCTTTCCGGCGAAATCCTGGAGGGAAAAAAATTTTCATAGGTGGCAATTGGCTAGAGAAGAAAGATGATCACTTCAAATGAGGAGGGTGTTGATGAAGACATTAGGGAAAATGTGGAGAATGAAACTCAATGAAAAATTTTTAGGGCAGGTCTCCCACATCATTAATAAACAATCTGAAATCTGACTGAACAGAATACTATTCAGTATTAGGGATTCCATTTAAAAAGGGGAGCAGGTGTGCTGACTTAAATTACATTCTACATTGTCAATTCCCAAAAAGTATATCTTGGGCTGGGGCTGTAGCTCAGTGGTGGAGGGCTTGCCTCGAGCTGTGAGGCACTGGGTTTGATCCTCAGTACTACATAAAAACAAATAAAAATATTGTATCCATCTACAACTAAAAAAATATTTTTAAAAAAGTATATCTCATCTCTTAGTACTTTAACAAGGTACTTAACAAGAGCACCCTGTAAAATATACTCAGAGTGAGCACTGTCTGGAAGAAAGCTGAGATGCCATGCAATTCAAATAGGAAACCCAGCAAGGCAAAGTATCAGTAATCTCTGAGACTTGGGAGGCTGAGGCAGAAAGATTGAAAGTTGGAGGCCAGCCTCCACAGTTTAGCAAGACTTTGTTTCAAAATAAAAATTAAAAAACGGACTGAGGATGTAGCTCAGTGAAAAAGTGCACTGGGTTCAATCCTCAGTACCCCTGCCCCAGACAATAAAAGATAGCACATTTTTGTGCAAATTCTCAGGAACATGGACTCTTGGGGACAAGGTCAGCCTCTATTCTTCTCTGAAGAGAGTAAGTAGAGCACAAGCCAATACCTTCCAAGGTGTTCCTACGGCCATCCCCACCAATGATCACTTCAAATTCATACTCTGATACAGGATGAGTTTTGGGGTGCACCAGTGCCCGCCAACCTATCCCTGTGGACCAAATGCAAAATTAAGATCATTACTCAGACCAAATTCATATCTCTAAGATCATCTCTAGATACCCAGGCATACAGAATGCACAAAACTCCAAGCTAAAAACAATAAATAGAAAAGTATGGGGTATAAACTTCAGATAGAAAGAAGCTCCGAAGAGAACTTACAAAGGGACTTTCCCCATCATATGATTTTTCTATAGTACAAGTGCCTGCAATGACTAAGTCAAAGGCCTCCTCATGAACTTTGGATTGGGCAAAGGGTTGGGGGGCATGGGGATAGGAAAGATGGTGGAAGGAGACGGACATCATTACCCTAGGTACATGTATGATTGCATGAATGGTGTGACTCTACTTTGTGTACAACCAGAGAAGTGAAAATCTGTGCTCCATTTGTGTATAATGAATCGAAGAATATTCTGCTGTTATGCATAACTGATAGAATAAATTCAAAAATTTTAACAAAAGGCCTCCTTATTCAACTTTAACAGTAAACTTCAAAGGCACAGACTATACAAAGAAATCCCTTTAACTAGTTCTGAAAAACACTGGCAGATTATTCCCATGTTCTCCTTTTACCTCATCTGTTCTCATCCTTTTAATGCCATTTTAAGCTTTCTTCATTTTTCCAATTCAACTTACGTTCATTTTCTTGATCCTCAGGAGGCTGTACAAGTCCTTGGAATTCCACATTGACGTGTATTTCGATGCCTAGGATCAAGGCTACTTTCAAAAGTATTAGTTGGAGTTGACGTATACCTGGGTAAATACAAAGACTACATGTTTGCAAGAGCACACAGAGAAGAAAGAACACACCAGTAGTTGCTCCTCATGTTCCCTCCCACCCTTTCTCCTATGCATAGTCTATTCAGGTTCTCCAAAGTCTTTTGGAGCAGGAGACATTTTCTATGCCATGTTCTCTAACTTCTTTCTTTTTAAGGGTAAATACCAACCAGTGGAAGAGATGCTCTAGAGACTTTAAAGCCACCTACATCTTTGAGTTAGGTATTCTAAACAATAGAAAACTTTGAGACAGCATGAGACTGTGGCCAACAGGAGACTCTCCTTTCTAGCTTCCCCTGATGTGTCAGAGATGCTATTCTCAGTAGTATCTATAGTCGTAATGGGACATGGCACCTACCACAGGACACAGGAGTACACTCATGAGTACACTTTTCACAGCTTGATATGGAGCCACTGTATTGCTTTCTGAAATATCCATAGCATCCCTTCTACTCTTATTATCTCACTGACCTTCACATTCTCTCAGCAGGTAAAAGAAATCACAATTCAGCCTTATCCTCTTAACAGAACCCCAACTTATTTACAGTTGTGGCAACTGAGGCACAAAATAATTGAAAATCTCACTCATTATCAAGGTAAGATTTATATACTATTTGATGCCCAAAGTTCCTACCCAGTGCCAGTTGTGGCAGCAATACTAGGTATACAAAGATAGAAATCTAGTTGCTGATCTAAGACTCTCTCAGTCCCAAAATAATTCTGCCACTCATAATCACTGGGAGACAAGTCCACTCTATCAATGACCCTCAGTCATCCCTCAAAGCCAAACTTACCTTCAATCTGTGACTAATCTGTTAGAAGCACATGCAAGTCCACTGCTAAGTCATCCTGGTTATTTTCCTTAGCTTACCACAACTATCACCCTCTGAGTCACACTCCCAAAGACTCATTAAGTCTCATGCTAGCACACATTTTAGTTTTGCAGATAACTATTGTTCCAAGCACTTCTGTCAGGGAAGTACAAGTTGTTAGCCAGTGTTTAATAAATTGGCACAACCACTTCAAACAGCAAAAAGTCTGGTACTCAGACCAAAGTTTCTTTGATAAAGTTTTCCTGGACTCTTTAGTGATAACCAATTTTTAAATAGAGGATTTCAACTTCATAATGCAGACAATTTCTGTTCTGAACTGGTTTTCAGATAGGCTACTTACAGGCATGAAAACAATAATCAACTGCATTAACTTGTATTTACCCTTTTCAAAAATACAGAGACTCCAAATGAGTTTGAAGATTGACAAGAGAATGCCAAGAGCTATTCTGGCTGTAGACTTCGTGAGTATCACCTAACCAGAGGAATTCTACTACTGACTTGTCATTCATGACCAACCTAGAACTCTGCTTTCTCTTTAAATATAAGGACTGTATCCCTGTAGCATGTTCTTCTTATGTTAGTTTAGCATATGAAAGATTACACTGCAGAGAGCCACAGCCTGTGTACTTCTTCTACTACTCCAAGAACCACCAAAGGATTGAGGCCCAAATTGGTCACCGGTTTCCAAAAGTCTAGCCCCTCTGCCTATCTCACACACTGCAAGTATTCAGTAATAGTCCAAGACCTAACTCAGACATCCTTAAGCCAGACTCCTCCTCCTTGCACAGGGCAAACATTGTAGTTCAAAGTTCTAGGTCACAGAACTACAAGAGGCAAATATTTTGACTCAATATAGGGAATGCTTGCTACATGATAGATACCAATGAGATCGGAACAAATTATGCTATTGAGCAGGAATTCCTCAGATAACCTACCTGTCTCTGTCTACTGAAAAGTGGGCGGGAGAAGGGTTGGAATCCTACAGCAGCTGGTGTTACTCACTGATATGATCGATGGCTCCAGCACAGAACTTGCCATAGAACTTCTTGGCACCCAGACCTCGAAGATCATGTATGGTGAAGGGCCAGAGATGTAAGACATTGTTGCGGGAAAAGGCATCTCGCTTCTCAATAACCACCACCTTAGCTCCCAATAAGGATAAATCAATGGCTGTGCGGAGACCACAGGGGCCAGCTCCAATGATGAGACACTGCAAAACACAGCTGCTTTAAGGCAAAGCTTGTGACTCTTAAAACATATTTCTAGAGATATTTTATAATCTCATAACCATCATTCCTGTAAACCTTCAGTGAGGGCTATTCTCCCCATTACCAAAAAAACTTCAAACCTGTCTGTGTCACAGCAGAGTTTGAAAGAAGAGCTGTGGTTGCTATGGATGGGAAAGACTGAACAAGTGCTACTTGTGAACCAAGTACATGTTCATCTTGGTCAGCCTGTAAGGCCCACATATCTGTAACATATTTAAAGGGGTAATCATTTCAATAAATAATATGAAAATCACATCTAATCTTTTACTGACAGGAGAGGACCTTTTGAAAGGCTTCTATGTTCAGCAGATTTCTGTCCAGGGAGGTAGAGATTATTATGGTTCAACAAATCTTCACAGCCCTGGAATGGATTTACCACACAGATAATTCTCTGGAGGCCACTTTCAAAAGCCAAAATTTTATGTGCTAAAAGAGATGTAAAATCATCATTTCTAGACTGAAAGTCCAGGGAAATGCTCTTGAAAATCAATACTCTAGAGAAATACTCAGCATGAGGCTAAACAAAGATCTTAATTAGTTTGTACTGCATGCTCAGAAGAAAGCTGTGCAACACATTTGACTTTGAGTTCCTTTCATTTTTAAAGTCCAGTACTCAAGAAAGTTTTGCTTTTGAATTTCTTGAATATTATTGATGATATCTATTCAAATGTAAATCCACTGGGATGGGTCTCTAGTTATCCACACAAGGGCAAACTGAAGTTGAGTATAGAGTTATGGTTTTATAAAGATGACATGTCAAGAACTATGAAGTTATGCATAGATAAGACTTTTAACCTATCCATGACCTTGCTAAATGATCTGCATCCTCCTAAGAGGGTGAGGTTCAAAATGAAACTTCAGCAAAATGCAAAGCTTGACTTCAGGGTTGTTCTTAAAAAGTTGAGACTTTGAATGTCCAATATGAAAATACATGAAACATGCTCAGAAAAGGGTCTGGCACATGAAACAGTCAACCTTTCAACAGATGAATGGACAAAGAAAATGTAGTATATTTACACACAATGGAGTATTACTCAGCCATAAAGAAGAATGACTTTATGACATTTGCTAGCAAATAGATGAATCTGGAGACAATCATGCCAGTCCTAAAAAACCAAAGGTCAAATGTTTTCTGATATGTGAAAGCTAACCCACAATAAGGGGATGGGGTGAGGGGAAGAACAAAAGTGCAGTAGATTAGACAATGGAGAATGGAGGGCGGGGGGATAAGAAAAGGAAAGACAGTGAAATAAATTTGACATTATTTCCCCATGTACATATATGAAAACATTACAGTGAATAGTGAATCCTATCATCACATACATCCATGAGATCCTAACTAGAATAAGATATATTCCATGCTTATATATCAAAATGGATTCTGCTATTATATATAACTAAAAAGAACCAATAAATTTTTTTTTAAAAGAAAAAAAAATGAGCATGAGTAATGGATCTGCAAAATTTCAACAGATTATAAGCTTAATTTCTTAGGTAATGAATGGACAAAGAAAATGTAGTATATTTACACAAAATGTAGTATATTTACACACAGTGATGCTAGAATCTGCCTGGCATCAACCTAGCCTGGGAATCTTACCCAGTCCATCTCTATTCAATTCTTCTAACTGGTACCTAGTTAAACTCTCATGTCAGTGACCTTAGAGTCTGAGAATAGTTAAGCCCTTACCTTAGTGTTAGTGCATGCTTTTCCCTTTTTATAGTCTTTGTGACTGCCCCGTTTGTCCAACTTTGCCCAGAGAGCTTTGGCTTTCCAGTAGTTAAGCTTGGACTTGAGCTTGTGATAGAAGGAACGGTAGTCTTTAGGCTTCAGTTCCAGGTGGTCACAGAGTTCTTGAAAGGCCTTGAGGGTTCCCTTGCAGGTAGTGGCTTGGACAAACCGGTCAAAGAGGACATGAGCTTGGTTCGTGGTCTCATGCTTCTTCTCTTCCATGCTTCCCCACTCTCAGTACTGCCCAACAGAGGGGGCAGTGGGATGGCAGTTGATCCACCTGACACTGTCACCTTAATCTAACAAAAAGAAAGAAAGAAATGGTCAGTATTTCTACAATTGATCTTTCTGAAGAAGAGATCTCAAGAGATAACACATTCATTCAACAAATGCATACTGAAATGCTCCAGGGACCATCCAAGATACTGAGGTGGAAAGATGAGTAAGACAGCCTTTGTTTTCAAGGATTTTATAGTCTAGTGAATGACAGGCACATAAACTGAATGATACAGTGTACCAATAGAGAGAGAGGAATAAGGAAGAGTACCTAAATCTCAGGGAGGCAGGGTCCTTATTAAAGATGAACCTCTAAGACATGACAGCAGAGTCTTCAGGGTAAGTAAATGTTAGCCACATAAGAAGAAGTATAGTATGTGAGAAATAAAGTAAAACACAGACAGTCCTATGAGGGACTGATAAAGATCAAAGTGTCAAAAAGATTCCCAGTTTTCCTTCTTAGGCCACTGAGAAATCATGATAGCAAGGCAATGAATTAAAAATAAAAGCACCCATTTGTGAACAGGGGTAGTAAACTCCCTTTTCAATCTGTCGCATCTGAGCTACTTAGGGGAAAATATAGCCATATACTAGGCAGTGGAGTATGAATGTGAAGTTCAAGGGAGCCCTTAGAGATGCAGACCAGGTTTGGGAGTCCTTAGTGTACAGTGGTAGTGGAACTGAAATAAGCCATGGCTTTACATGTGCTCTAGGAAGAACAAACCTGCAAGAAGAGGCTGGAAGAAAGTCCACCCCACTAGAAAAGATTATGAGAAACACAGAAAAAGGGTAGTGTCATAGAAGTTCTAAGAAGCAGGAAGTTCAGATGTGGTAGTATCAGCAGAGATTTAAAAGACTTGAGAAGTCTTCTGTGTGTGGTACATGGCAGGATGGGGAGATTGTAGAGCCACCCCATTTTGCCCATAATCATGTTTAACAATAACAATGATGCCATCTATATCTTCCACTTATCAAAACATGAACACATTTGCCATTCTATGTGTCTGCTGTAAAGAGGCTTAAAGGCCGAAGATGGCACCTCATGTGTTTCTTCATCTACTTTCTCTCTGGCGTCTGTCACATCACCTTTGTACCACATTTTATTTATTATCACTATTACAACCGTAATTTGGAGGTAGGTGGCAAAGGGCCAAGCTAAGCCATATGAAGAATGTAGGACCGGGTGACTGTAGGGCACCACCCTGAGCCACATGTGCCTACACAGGCTGCATGACCCTGGAAGTCACTTTGCCTCATAAAACTGATTTTTTTGTTGTTGTTGTGGAAGACAAGAAGGAATGATTGATGACTTCTACACCTCTCTCCCAATTCTGAAGTTCTCTGAGCCTTGTGTTAAAGAAATTCTCCTGGTCATAAAACTTGTTCCTGGTGCTTATCAATTCCATGAAAAAACACAATCTGCCAAAACTCACACAAAAATAATAGACAATCTAAAAAGGCCTATATCTATTAAATAAATTAAATAAATAATCTCATACATAGACATAAAAATCCTGAAGATAAGATCAGCAAGTTGAATCCAACATTATTCAATCAGAAGATACATGAATCCAACATTATTCAATCAGAAGGCACATCCTCCAATTTACCACTAGTATGACAAACATGACTGGCTTGGAACTGTGGAAGATTTACTCTTGGGGATAGGAGAAGATGAAGGGAGTTATTTATGTGCTGTCCTCAGGAGGGGAAAGAAGGAAAAAGTGGCCTTCTATTTACTGATATAATGTAAGAGAGCCACCAAGCTGCAGGTGCTGATACAATCAATTCTCAGAGAACAGGTGTTAAGTTTCACAAGGTTCTGTTGGGAAGCTCTTCCCATTATGAAGGAGAAACATCGCTCTGTTTTTCTCCATACCTCACCATGATATCATATGATTAAACCAAATCACTTACAAATGTGTCTTAAGCTTCATGAAAGAAAGTCATAGCTACAGGAACTGTCCTTTCCCTTTCACGTTTTCATGTCAATAGCTCAATACTTCTCTACTACTGTGGAGGATGAGTGGAAGATGATTAATTTATCATCTGAAATATACTAATTCGGCTTCTCACCTTAAAAAATGTTACTTACTCAACAGCCTCTCCTGGCTCTGGATATTAAGAACTATACATACTGCTTGTTCTAATATCCATGTGGGCAAGAGTTCAGCAAGAAATGGAATTAGGGGGCTTGGAATAGCTCAGTGATTGAGTGTTTGCCCAGCACGCATGAGCAGGTTGGTTCCCTCTCCAGCACCACAATAAACAAAAAAACCAATAGATGAATAAATAAAACAAGATTAATGGAAACTAGCCTTCAATTTCCCCTAAATAAAGGTTTTGATTTAGGTAGTAGCAAGAAAAACATTTTAAAGTTCCTAAGAAGAGTTCATTCTTTTTCTTACAAGCCAAAACTTACCTTAAAAAGACAGGTAGTTAAAAGACAGCTAGTAGGGGTTAAAAAAAAAAAAAAAAACAACAGATGTTCTTATGCAACAGCAGAAGAAAGACTACAACAGGTAATAACCAACAACTGGAAACAAAGACCTCAGACAGCATTTGCTACACTGGGGACCCTCTACATCTTGCCTTCTATGTAGGGAATCTGCAATTTTACTTGCTTTTCAGTGAGCAGACAGCACTGTGCTGTCCTGGACCCACATATCCTACCTGTGTTCACAATCAACCTTGATTTTGCCAGTCACAATGAAATGTTTGCAAGATTTGAACCCACTGTACATGTCTGATATATTTGCATCAAGGGAGAAAATAATTTTTCTTTGTTCCCTAATAGCAGCCACCTTCTATTTCTTGCCAGAACTTAGAGCACTGAGAACACGATTATTCTCTTGTTGAATTTAACACATTAAAACCCCACACCAGATATCTGTAAAATCCTTTCCCTGGTCATAACACCTGCTTTGTGCTCCTATCTCTCCCTCAAGAGTGTCTTGGGCATTTGTGTCAGAAGAATAGTTCTGCTGCATGGGCCACCATCCCATTGGCTGGTTGTAGCCCATTCTGAAATAAATATTTATTTGCCAAGAGCTACTAACCACTACAGAGAAGATCCAAATAAGGTTCCACAGCAGATGCACACCTTGTTTAATAAGCAGCCCCGATCTTTTGTAGTTGGAAATTTAAAGGTGCTGCAATGCACCTTTAAATTAACAGGTTTCAGCTGCAGAGTACCTGCTTATGGGCAGCAGACAAGTATTAAGTGCCCAGGCTAAAGGGTCATGACCTGCAGGGACTAATGACAGCAGATAAACAGAAGCAGGTTGGTTCCTGGAACAATGCAACAGGCATTCAAGGTAAGACTACACGAGACTGAATCCCTTGGGCTGCCTTACTTTTCCTTCTTTGTGAGCCAGATCACTGGAGTTGGAAGACAAATCTAGAGTACCACACCATTATTCTGTGGCTCTGTTGCACTGGGACTGTCTCATTTCCAAGAGGACTTACCTTGCATTCTGACTTGTTCTGAAAAGCCAGGCAGAATGGCAGAAGAGCCATTCCTGAAACCAACCCATTTCCCCTCATTCCTGAATGTCAAAGCCAACTCATGCTCCCCCTGACTTCTCCTTGACCACCCATCCAAGTGTCTTGGGAAAAATCAACATTCACAATTACAGGAACATTAGGGACCAGGAAACCTGGCAGGAAGGTACTTGAAATTCTGGGGACAGAAAAATCAAGGTATGAAAAGAAAAAGGCAAGGGAAGTGAGGAGTCTGAAGGGGGAAAAGGAAGAAACAGTGATGCCAGGTTTCCAGAGCATCTGTGAGACTGCCAGTTGACAATACCCTGCATGTTTTGTCTAGTGGCAGCTGACTGCTGACTCAGATGCTCTGTGCGTTCCTTGGCGGTAGAGGGAAGTGCTGGGGAGACAGACAGCCTATGAAGAACATGCAGGAACAGGGTTCATGTTTTTATTTACAACAAGAATGAAAGGTTACTCTGACTCATAGGTGGATATGAGAATGCTCAATCTGCAGCTCTTAGAATAGGTGGGTGGTTGTTTGGGGGGTTAGTGAAAAAAATTATCTTTAAAATTAGAAAAAGGAAAGAAAGAAAACAACAAAATAAGAATCACTCACCGTCTCAAAAAATAACAGGCTCAATGGTAAAGTGCCCCCTCCAAAAAAAAAAAAAAACCCACAAAAACTGTCTGGAATGGGGTTTCTCATCCTCTCTAACTCTACTTCTCAGCTTTGTTTTTCTCACAGCTCTTCAGATAAGGCTCTGGGTACCCAGAGTGAGGCTTCATTTTTCTCTCCTGTCTCTATACGATTAATATACCAGTAGGTATGCAAATCTCTAAATCTTAAAGGAATCCAAAAAGTGCTCCTTTTCCTAGCCCACTCAGTGAGGTGTGACTTGTCTAAATAGATTTTGGAACTATAGTAGGAGTATAGGAATGCTTGTTTTGGAATGCTGTTAGGAGGAAACTTAGTTGAAAAATTCATATTAGATTATTGAGATTCCATAGTGTTTTGCCACAAAAACAAGGATCCCCAAATCACCAAAATAGTTCTAGACATATTTTTTTCTGCAACATGAGCAACTGAGCTGCTATCATTTGAATGCAAATACTGAGGTCATGGCTTCAGAGGTAACAAGTTGACTAAGTCAAAGACTGTCTGGGGTTGGGCACACCTGTAATCCCAGAGACTAAAGAGATTGAGGCAGGAGAATCATAAATTCAACATAGCCCCAGCAACTCAGCAAGGCCCGTCTTAAAAAATAACAAGGCTCAATGGTAAAGTGCCCCCTCTTAAAAAAAACCCACAAAAACTGTCTGGAATGGGGTTTCTCATCCTCTCTAACTCTACTTCTCAGCTCTGTTTTTCTCACAGCTCTTCAGATAAGGCTCTGGGTACCCAGGAAGCAACTCAAAATCTTGCAAGGCAAGTAGTCTTCCTCATGCATTAATTTTCCCCCAATTTTTTTTTTATGGTAACTAACACATACTATAAAATTCCCATCTTAGCCATTTTGTTGTTTGTTTGTCTGTTTGTTTGTTTAAGACAGACTGCTAGAGTCTGTAAACAAGTCAAGATGGCGCCTGGCATTTTGCAGAGGGAGTGGTTTATGAAGTAACTCAAGCGAGCCATTAAGTGTGGAGATTGGTTGACTGCTGTATCTAGTTTATGTTAATTAAGATAAGCTGTGTGTAATGTATATACACCCCTCCAGTCCTACAATAAACGGCTCCCACTCCTGCTGTATCAATGTACACAAGTTGTTCATCACCCCCCGGTTATTTTGCTGCAGCCGGACTGTGGCAACAGACTTCTGTTGTGTTTGTCAAATTGGCCTCCAACTCCTGGGCTCAAGTGATCCTCCTGCCTCAATCTCTCAAGTAGTTGGGACCTCAGGCATGTAACACAGAACCTGGCTAATCTTAAATCAATTTAAGTGTAATAGAATACTGTTAAATACAATCATAAGAGAGTACAACCATCATTACCATCCAACTCTGTAACTCCTTTTATGCACAGGGTTCCAATTTCTCCATATTCTCACCAATACTATTTTTCTGTATTTTTTCTTTGTTTGTTTGTTTGTTTATTTGTAGATGGACCCAATACCTTTATTTTTAAATTATTTTTATGGGGTGCCGAGGCTCCAACCTAGTGCCTCACACATGCCAGGCAAGAGTGCTATCACTGAGCTACAACCCCAGCCCTCAGTGTTAGTTTTGATAGTGTCCATCCTAACAGGTTTGAGGTAGTATCTCACCGTACTTTTCATTTGCATTTCCCTAGTGATTTGTAACATTAAGCATATTTTCATGTATTTACTGGCCACTTGTATAACTTCTTTTGAAAAATGACTATTCAAATGTCATTTGAAATGTCCATTCTTTAACTGGGTTATTTTTGTTCTTGTTAAGTTTTAGGAATTCTCTGTATTTGGGGTATTAATTCCTTATCAGATACATGATTTCCAACCACTTTCTCCCATTCTGTGGGTTGCCTTTTCACTCTGTTGATCGTGTCTTCTGATACATCTTTTTAAAAATTTCATGAAACCTAACTTGCTTTTTTTTTCTTTTGTTGCCTGTGCCTTTGGTGTCATATCCAAAATAGTCACTACCAAATTTAATGTTGTGAAATTTTGTCCTATGTGTCCTGGGGGTGGTTCTAAGAGTTTTATAGTTTTAGGTTTTACATTTAGGTCTTTGATCCATTTTGAGTTAATTTTGTGTATGGCATTAAATAAAAGTCCAAATTCATTCTTTTGCATATGAATATTCAGTTTTCTCAGCACCACTTGTTTAAAAGATTGCCCTCTCGCCAAGGGTATAGTAGTGGGCTCTCTTCCATTGGTCTATATGTCTTTTTTGTTGTTTTTTAAATATGGAACGCTTCATGAATTTGCATGTCATCCTTGTGCAGGGGCGATGCTAATCTTCTCTGTAACATTCCAATTTTAGTATATGTGCTGCTGAAGTGAATACTATATGTCTGTCTTTAAACCAGTACCACATTTTGGATTGCTATTTCCTTATAGTAAGTTTTGAAATCAGGAAGCATGAGCCCTCTAGCTTTGTCCTTCTTTTTAAAAACTGTTTTGGCTATTCTGGGTACTTTGAGATTCCACACAAATTAAAAAAAAATATTAGTTGTAGTTGAACATTATTTATTTATTTAAATAATTATTTTTTAGTTGTATTGGATACAAAACCTTTATTTTATCTATTTATTTTTATGTGGTGCTGCAGATCGAACCCAGGGACTCACATGCCCTAGGCGAGTAATCTACCGCTGAGCCACAACCCCAGCCCCCTATTATTTATTATTATGTAGTGCTGAGGATCGAACCCAGCACCTCACATGTGCCAGATGAGCACTCTACCGCTGAGCCCCAGTCCCAATCTCGAGATTCCATATGAATTTTTCTGCAAAACCAAACCAAAACAACAACAACAAATCCCTCCAAAAATTGGGATTTAGACAGGGGTGGTACCGACTCTGTATATTACATCTTAAGTTTTCTAAACCATGAACATGGAATGTGTGCTCAGTTATTTAAGTTTAATTTCTTTCAGTGATATTTTAGTTTCATTGTATAAGTCTTTCACCTCCTTGGTTAATCTCCAAGTATTTTATTCTTTCGATGCTATTATAAATGAAATTGTTTTCATAATTTCCTTTTCAGATTATTCACTGCTAAGTACATAAAAATGCTGACTTGCTGAATTCTTGACTTTGCTGAATTCCTGTATTAACTCTAATGGATTTTCTGAGTGGAGTCTCTAGGGTTTCTGCATATAAGAGTGTGTCATCTACGAACAGAGATAATCTCACTTTTTTCCTTTTCTTTGTCCCCCAACACCAGTACTAGGAATTGAACACAGGGTACTCTACCACTGAGCTATTTCCCTAGCCCTCTTCAATTTTTTAAATTTTGCAACAGGATCCTGATGAGCGGCTCAGTCTGGTCTCAAGCTTGCAATCCTTCTGCCTCAAATTCCCAAGTAGCTGAGATTACAGGTATGAGCCACCATGCCTGGCTCACTTTTTCCTTTTCAGTGTAGATACTTTTTCTTGCCAAACTGGTTTGGCTAAACTTCGAGAGCAGTTTGGCATATTAAACAGAAGTGGCAAAAGTGGGCATCCTTGCCTTGTTCCTGATTTTAAGAGGAAAAGCTTGGGCTGGGGATGTGGCTCAAGCGGTAGCACGCTCGCCTGGCATGCGTGCTGCCCGGGTTCGATCCTCAGCACCACATACAAACAAAGATGTTGTGTCTGACGAAAACTAAAAAAATAAATAAATATTTAAAAAAAAAAAAAAAGAGGAAAAGCTTTCTGTCTTTACTATTGAGTATGATTGTTTGCCATAGGTTTTACATATTCTGCTTTTATTAAGTGGAAGTCATTTCCTTCTATTCCTAGCTTTTGAGTGTTTTTATGAAAGGGTGTTTAACCTTCAATGTTTTCATGTTTTGGTATGTCTTATATTCTCAGATCTTTTCTTTTTCATGCTATTTAGCATCAAACTCATCTGCAGCACAAAACTAATCCCCACCCCCACCCTGTGTCTATTCCTTCTTTCTATGCACCTATTCTTTATTAATACAGTAGTAGTCTTCATCTACACCTGCCATTCTTCAAGGACTATTTAAATGTTTCTCTTCTCTACTAATAGTGAGTTTTCTTAGGGAAGGGATCAGGTCTTTGTAGTTATAGTCTGACTTGTAACAGAACTGTTCTATGTTTCTACTGAATCACTGAGGAAAAGATGGAGCTAGTTGCTCTTGAAGGACCAGTCTGGTGGACAAACATTAGCCTGTGTGACTGGGGAAGATGAAGGAGAACTAAATAGATGTTATAGATAAGCTTTCTCATGTGCTACCCAAAAGTGGTACCTAATAAATCACATCACCTGGTGCTGGGAGCCATTAGCCAAGTAGGTATGACAATTTCCTTGCCAGCGTACCCCATGTTGCTTAGTGGAAGGACTTGTGGAAATAGGACATTTTGCAGTGACATTGCATCTAAGATGACCTTGCTCAAGGACCAGGGAGGATCTGGGTTTAGGGTGTTCCTGGTTTAGGATGATCTGGGTTTAGGGCGTTCCCGGTTTAGGACTATCCGGGTTTAGGGTGGTTCCAGGTTTAAGGTTATTCCTGCTGGGAATAGGGCGTATCCTGCTGCCTGAGTTCCCCTTGAGTTCTCACGGGATTCAGACAGTATTTTTTGGGAGACAGAAGCCCAGTGGGGGTGGATTTGAGCAGAGAACGTGGATTTCCCCAGAACGTGATTGTAGACGGCTGGTGTGAGTTCGGGAATAAAGAGTTGCTGTTTGAATCTACAAGCTGTGTGGTGGCTCGTGATTTTGTGCCCAGCCAGACTGCGGCATTTGTGCCCAGCCAGACTGCGGCAACCTGGAAAGTCAATGATATTCTGTGAGGATCAACTAGCAAGAATGTGGCACTTTATAATGAATCCTCACTCCACTTCATCCTGGCCTCTGAACTGATCCTTTCTAGAGGTTTCCAAGAAGAACCCGAATCATATGACATCTAGGTTCTCAGCCAAGTATCTAATTCTGAAAGGCAGTAGTATGGCCTTAGCCCATATGTTTTGTCTCTTCGAACTTTTTAATTCTACTCTTTGCCAACAACCAATGTCTTCACTAAAACCAACACACCTACACAACTGAGTAATGACATGAGTCAAAAACAAATTGACCTCTGTCTTGTGGTTCTATTGCCGAGACACACATTAAACTGTCCAAATCAGAAGGATACATCCAATAAACACAGTTGCTAATGCTAATACCCATGCCTGCCCAAAATAACCCACAAAAACAATCAGAAGGAATAGTGGCACATACCTTAATCCTAACTACTATAGAAGCTGAAGTAGGAGGATCCCAAATTTGAGGCCAGCTTGGGCAACTTAGTGAGACCCTGCCTCAAAGTAAAATAAAAAGGGCTGGGCTATGCTCAGTGATTTAGAATTTTCTTGTTCAGCTTGTGTGAGGATCTAGGTTCAATTTCCAGTACCACCACCATCATCACCACCACATCATCATCATCACCACCACCACCATTATCATCATCCAACTTAAGATCTTATGTCTTATAATTAAGCTTCCTCACCTATAAAATTTTTAAAAATCCAAAAAATCATAGTGTTTTGTGCAAATTAAGTAATGAATGAAAAATGGTTAGTGTACCAGACCCATAGCAAGGCCTAGTCAATGATGGATGGCACTGCTGTTTTACCTAGCTGTTCATAAATAAATCTCAGCAACAAAAAATGATAGTCTAAATACATGGCTACTCTATATAACAGAAATAGATCTCAATTTTGTTTTTTGAATGAAAGAAAAACATTTCACAATTTTATTCCATCATCACTCTCCACTCTGAGCCATGCTTTACATGATCTTCACCAATGCTGTGAGATAAATCTATTACCTCCATTTTGCAGAAGGGGAAACTGCAGCTTAAAGAAGTTTAAAGGTCACAAAACAAGATGGAAGTAGTATAGCCATGCTTTAGGTTTATACCTGCCTACTCTGGGGACTAAGTCCTTAGTCATAAAAAAAACACTTAAGAATACACATTGAGAAATGAAAGCCCATCAATACATGCTCCCAGCCTCTGCCTGAGAGCAGAAACTTGCAGGTATTGAGATGGGCACAGCTGTGCAATATATAATTCCTTTTCTTCTCACAATTTATCACTGCATCTGTTCCTTTGAAATAGAATCTTTTCACAAATGGAAGATATAACAGTCTGGTTTCATAGGAATTTTTTCTATTGACTGATGATGGAAGCCTAAATGACTAAAATAGTAATAACACAAGCTTTATCAGTCTGCATTCTTTAGCAGGCTCTAACACCCCAGCCATCAGTGACACATTTAAGTAATCAATTACAAAGCTCGCTTTCTTTCTTACTTTTTTGGTGGTGCTGGGGATTGAAGTCAGGGCCTTGTGCATGCTAGGCAAGCACTCTACCAACTGAGATATACCCCCAGTCCCCTACCCTTTTTCTTTCTTTCATTTTCTTTTGTACTGAGGATTTAAGCCAGGGGCACTTTACCACTGAGCCTTATCCCCAATCCTTTTTCCATTTTTTATTTTGAGAGAGGGTCTCACTAACCTGCTAAGGGCTTCACAATTGCTGAAGCTGACCTTGAACTTGTGATCCTCCTGTCTTACAGGCTTGAGCCACTGCACCCAGCAATTACAAAGTACTTTCTAATCAACTAACATATAAGGAGGTGAACCTACCTACCATCAAATGTACAGAGCTGAGTTATGGTGAGACTAAAAGACCAGCAACTTCCTGCCCCACTATCCTGAAAGCATTGCTAGGATGGGATGGGGGTGGTGGGGAATGGGCCTTGACAAGGGAGAAAGCCTCATTGAGGATGTGGTGAAACACAACCAAAGGAGAATCCTACAAAAGCTGTTCTTTGCAAGGCCAGGCCCTAATCTCACTCAGCACTGTGTACCCAGTTTCAGGTACATGGCAGGTGCACAATGAAGTTCTGCTGAATGAAGGGCTGCAAAGTCAGCTACACTACTGCACACTCTGGAAGCTGGCTGGCTAGCCGGCAGGCTGTACAGGGAGACCTTGAGGGCCTTTGTAGCATAAGTGCTCCCAGAACAGCAAGATTCCAGCGGTCCAAAGAGATATAAATACCCCATAAAGATTATTATAGAGTCCTTGGAAGAAATGCAGGGTCCCATAAAGGTACCCTGCCATAATAACCTCCCTCTATCTGGGACAGACTTTAAAATGCTTTCCTAACACTCAAATGACAAGAGGTTAAACTGGAATAGATCTGGGGGTTTCTTTGTCTTGCATGTGGTAAGGCACTGGGTTCGATTCTCAGCACCACATAAAAATAAACAAAGATACTGTGTGTTCATCTACAATTAAAAATATATTTTAAAAAATATCATGGTCAAAGTTAGATAGCATGTGAAAACATT